CCACTGTGCCCAGCCCTAGTGCTGATACTTTTAATGAATTTTTTTTTCTAAAAAATGTCCAAAATGAATTTATTTAATATAAATCACAAGGGCTTAACCAAGGCTCAATTTAAAAGAAAAAAACAATCCGGACACAGTGGCTCATGCCTGTAATCCCAGCACTTTGGGAAGCCGAGGCAGGTGGATCACAAGGTCAAGAGATTGAGACCATCTTGGCCAACATGGTGAAACCTCGCCTCTGTTAAAAATACAAAACAAGGCCAGGCGCGGTGGCTCACGCCTGTAATCCCAGCACTTTGGGAGGCCGAGGCGGGTGGATCACGAGGTCAGGAGATCAAGACCATCCTGGTCAACATGGTGAAACCCCGTCTCTACTAAAAATGCAAAAAATTAGCTGGGCATGGTGGCGCGTGCCTGTAATCCCAGCTACTCAGGAGGCTGAGGCAGGAGAATTGCCTGAACCCAGGAGGTGGAAGTTGCGGTGAGCCGAGACTGTGCCATTGCACTCCAGCCTGGGTAACAAGAGCGAAACTCCGTCTCAAAAAAAAAATTTTTTTTTAGATTTATTTTTATTAAAAAAAAATTTAAGACAAGGTTTCACCTTTGTTGGTCAGGCTGGTTTCAAACTCCTGACCTCAGGTAATCCACCTGCCTTGGCTTCCCAAAGTGCTGGGATTACAGGTGTGAGCCCCCGCGCCTGGCCAGTGCTGATACTTTTTAATGATCTGCCCAAATGGAAGGATATACCGACTGGCATGGCCACAGGGTGTGTTTCCCATACTTTGGCCAACCCTAGATTTCATAGGCTTTTAACATTTTTAACCTTTGCTAACTCATTACAGGGGGAAAAACCTTAATGTTTTAATTGCATTTATTTCATTTTAAATGAAGCTAAACTTTTTAAAAAACATATTTGTTGGCCGGGCGCGGTGGTTCACGCCTGTAATCCCAGCACTTTGGGAGGCCGAGGCGGGTGGATCACAAGGTCAAGAGATCGAGACCATACTGGTCAACATGGTGAAACCCCGTCTCTACTAAAAATACAAAAATTAGCTGGGCATGGTGGTGCGCGCCTGTAGTCCCAGCTACTCGGGAGGCTGAGGCAGGAGAATTGCCTGAGCCCAGGAGGCAGAGGTTGGGTGAGCCGAGATTGCACCATTGCACTCCAGCCTGGGTAACAAGAGCAAAACTCCGTCTCAAAAAAAAATTTTTTTTAATAAAAATAAAAAACATATTTGTCTATTTGTAGTTCTTCCATCCTTTTCTCCTTTTACTGATTCTCTATGGAGAAACTGGTCTTCATGTCTTTTGTCGCAACAAATTCTTTTTTTTTTTTTTTTTTGAGACTCCAACCTGGAGTGCATGGCACGATCTCGGCTCACTGCAACCTCCGCCTCCTGGGTTCAAGTGATTCTCCTGCCTCAGCCTCCCGAGAAGCTGAGCCTACAGGTGCACACCACTACTCCAGCTAATTTTTGTGTTTTTGGTAGAGGCGGGGTTTCACCATATTAGCCAGGATGGTCTCGATCTCCTGACCTTGTGATCTGCCCACCTTGGCCTCCCGAAGTGCTGGAATTACAGGTGTGAGCCACTGCGCCCAGTCTAAAAATTCTTTATTATTAAGGGTTACTGGCCTTCATATATCATAAATATAATTTCTCACAGAGATCAATTTGTCTTCTTTCATTCACACACAGAAAATGGCAAACCCTTTGAAGGCACCCTGTTTGAGAAACTGCCAGAGAGGGCCAGGCACGGTGGCTCATGCCTATAATCCCAGCACTTTAGGAGGCTGAGGCAGGTGGATCACCCAAGGTCAGGAGTTCGAGACCAGCCTGGCCAACATGATGAAAACCCATCTCTACTAAAAATGGAAAAATTAGCTGGGTGTGGTGGTGGGTGCCTGTAATCCCAGCTACTTGGGAGGCGGAGTCGCAGTGAGCCAAGATGGCACAGTTGCACTACAGCCTGGGCAACAAGAGTGGAACTTTGTCTATTAAAAAAAAAAGCAAAGAAAAGAAAAAAGAAACAGAAACTGTCAGATTGATGGCTCCCCTACTGCCCGCTCTTGCCTGCTGCAGGATTATAGCAGGTTTCTCATCCCTGGCACAAGGAACACTTTGGGTCTAGACACTCGCTGTGTGGGGCCACATCGTGCTTCATAGGACATTTACCCAGCAACCCTGGCCTACACCCACTAGACACTGTTAGCACCCCCACCCCAATCAAAATGTCCCCAGATATCACTGCATGTCCCCTTGGGGACAAAACCACCCCAGTTGAGAGCCAGTGCTTTAGAGGAAGGCTAAGTTACTCTAAGAAAGAAACTCAATGATAGACAGTGGCTTAGAAGATACGGAATTGCATTTCTCAATGCAACAGCTCCAATGTGAACAGGCGGGCCACCACACTCCACGGGGTCACTCAGAGACCCAGATTCCTTCTAATTCAGTGTCTGTCCACAAAGGGCCTTGCCGTCATCTGCCTGGTCAAGCCTGGGTTGCAACAAGGAGTGTGTCAGGGAGCGTGGGGGATGCAAGCCTGCTGTTTGAAGGTCCACATGCCACATCTGCTAACGTTTCATTCACGGCATCTTAGTTACCCGGCCACATCTATCTGTGAGGGCTGGGAGTTTAGCAGAGCAGTGCTTACCAGCACAACCTGATGCTCCTGGAGCAGACAAGGACATGGACTGAACTGTGTCCCTCTAAATTCCTCTGTTGAAGCCCTGATCCCCAATGTGACGGTTTGTAAACAGGGCCCTTAAAAAGCTGAGGTTAAATGAGGTTCCCATGTGATAAGACCAACAGTTTTCGTGTGGCTGCTGCAGAGTAACAGACCCGTGATGCTGACAGCAGGGTTTGCAGCAGAGAAAGGGTTTCATAAGACCTGTGAAAGGAGGTGAAAGATCTCTTCTCAAAAACATCTCCCTGGGGAATTCTGAGCTAAGGTTTTTAAGGGGCTCATGGGAGGTGAGGGGCTGGAAAATGGGGGCTACTGATTGGTCACAGTAAGGAGGATGATTCATCAGAATGCGGAAACTGCATTCCTTGGTAAGTCGGCTCCTCTGGGGTCCTTCAGACCACCTGGTATCAGTACTTTCACCGGTATGCAGGACCTGAAAGAATATCTCAGGCCGGGTGTGGTGGGCAACAGGGCAAGACCCCCATCAACACCCCTCCCCCCGACAACAAAAAAGCCGGGTAGTACATCTGTAGTCCCAGATACTTCAGATGCGGAGGCAGGAGGATCAAGGCTGCAGTGAGCTATGATTGTGCCACTGCATTCCAGCCTGAACAACAGTGAGACCCTGTCTCATTAAAATAAGAAAAGAATTCTCTCAAAGGGAAAAGTTAAGGTTTCATAATGTTCAAGCTGTTATCTCTGGAAGAGTTAAGGGTAACTGTGATCTTTTAACAGAGTCAAGAGGCACCAGCTCAGAGGTGCTCACAGCAGGACTGGTGCTGCATACACTGCAAGCTCTGTTATTCCAGTTCCCTTCCTCTCTTCCTGGACTAATTTTATAATGCTTTTAGTGACAGTTTTCTTTATATACATATAATGGTTCACACCTATAATCCCAGCACTTTGACAAGCCAAGGTGGGTGGATCACCTGAGGTCAGGACGAGACCAGCCTGGCCAACATGGTGAAAACCTGTCTCTACTAAAAATACAAAAAATTAACCAAGCGTGGTGGCACATACCTGTAAATCCCAGCTACTTGGGAGGCTGAGGCAGTAGAATCACGTGAACCTCAGAGGTGGAGGTTGCAGCAAGCTACGCACTACTGCACTCCAGCCTGGGCAACAGAGCAAGGCTCCGTCTCAAAAAAAAAACCCAAAAAAACAAAAAACATAAAAGCAGAGCACCTAATCAACCCATGTGTCCACCTGCATCTTTCTGCAATTATCAACCTGTGGCCAACTCTATTTCACCTCTACCTCTGACCACACAGCCCCAGCATCCCACCGTTTCACCCATGAAGGGGACCTACTCGCCTGCCAGGCCTCCAGGGTCTTACTCCCATTACTCCAGGATAGACGGTGCTGGAAATCACGCCTGACATTGTCAGAGTGGCAGTAAGGAGGCTGGATGCTCAGCCAGAGACCCTCCCACGCTCGCGTCACGGCTGTGGTCAGCAGGCTGGGTGCCACAGTCATCCTGTGATCACGCAGGAACACCAAGGGAACCGCTTGGATATAAACCAGCTTGATGCCACTGAGTCACGGAAGCAGCTCCTGCCTGCCTAACACTGAACTTCATGTAATGGCAGATGATTAAATATCTTTTTTCTTTTTGAGATGGAGTCTTGTTCTGTCGCCTAGGCTATCGCAGGTCACTGCAACCTCTGCCTCCTGGGTTCCAGCAATTCTCTGCCTCAGTGTCTGGAGTAGCTGGGATCACAGGCACCCAGCACCACACCCAACTAATTTTCATAGTTTTAGTAGAGACGGGGTTTCACCGTCTTGGCCACGCTGGTCTTGGACTCCTGACCTCCTGATCCACCTGCCTCAGGCTCCCAAAGTCCTCGGATTACAAGCATGAGCCACCTCACCCAGCCCTCTAAAGATCTTAATGCTCTGAGACACAGCAGGCTGACTGGTATTCTGCCTGTGCTTAAAGGCATCCTGAGAGAGGCACACCATGATGGAACATGCAAAAGCAAAAGTGTTTCTTGTATTAATAACATACTTCAAGGTGCTTATGTGCTTGAGCAATTCCTGCAGTCAAAAGGGCCCTCCCCCTCCAGTATACAAGGCCCAGCCAGACAGGTTTCCTCCATCTTCACCCTCCTCCCCTGTCCCAGGGGAGCCAGGATAGCGACGTATCCACCAAGGTGGAGGCACTGTCTTCCTCCTCATCGACCTGAGTCCTCCTGGATATGACAAGGCAGTACTGCAGCCATGCCAGCCCTGGGAAGGTGGTCTTCTTTCTACAATCCCCTCATCCTTTGGAAGGCAACAAGATGATATTTTATAAGGCAACATCAATCAGAAGAAAGGATATTACTTTTATTACTTATCTATGTAAGAAAATAATAAGTACCATTCTTAATACTTATGAGTTCGATAGGTTGTGCTGTGAAAACAAAGGACCCTGAAGTCTCAGTGACTCAAGGTTTACTTCTTGCTGGTGCTATCCATCAGCTACAGTGCCTCTGTTACGGGATCAGGGGTGAAAAATCAGCCCTCACTGTGCACATGCTGTGCTCATGTTGAGGAGCAGATGGGGAGTGACCAAACCACAAGACAACTTCCAAAGCTTCTGCCTGAACCGGGCACATGACAGCTGACCACTTTACATTAGCATTTGGAAGTCTCACAGCTACGACTGCTGTCAAGGAAGAAAGGGCAGGACAGGTGCACTTAGGGAGGCTGAGGCAGGTGGATCACCTGAGATCAGGAGTTGGAGACCAGCCTGGCAAATATGGTGAAACCTTGTAATTACAAAAAATTCGTTGGGCATGGTGGCAGGCGCTTGTAATCTCAGCCACTTGGGAGGCTGAGGCAGGAGAATTGCTTGAACCCAAGAGGTAGACGTCGCAGTGAGCGGAGATCATACCACTGCACTTCACTCTGGGACACAAGAGAGAAACTCCGTCTCAAAAATAAAAAATACAAAAGTCAGGTGTGATGGCGGGCACCAGTAATGCCAGCTATTTGGGAGGCTAAGACAGCAGAATCGCTTTAACCTGGGAAGTGGACAGCACCGCACTCCAGCCTGGGTGACGGAGCAAGACTGTCTGGAGAGATAGACAGGAAGCAAGCAAGCAAGCAAACAGCCTTGAATTTCATTTACATTTCTGGCTGAGAGTGCCTCCCAAGAATAACCGCCTCGAAATTTAGTACGACGGCAATCCAGGGCTACCAAATGATTCTGGGAAATGCAGTTCCTACTTCTTCTGCTAGGCAGAGAAAGTTATCTTTAGCTGACAGCTGACAAGTTGACACATAAAGACAGCGGTATTTCAGATACCGCCCAAGCAGCCTGAATATCCCTAAGACAACAGCGAACATTCCGGAGCGCTTTCTGGATGTCAGGGACACTTCGTGGGACTTTTTCCACCTCTCTATGGCAGTTTTTCCTATTACCGTCATGGCCCACATTTCAGAGGAGTGGAGGCCCGGAAAGAGCAAACGACGCGCCCATTCCCTCCCCGTGCTGTAATCTGCATACATCATCTTTTAAAACGGACTTCTCAGAGCCCCACCGTTTTGCGCTTCAGGAACAACAGTGAACATTTATCAACCCCACCGTTTTTCTACAACGGCCACGTGGCTGGCCAGTGGCTACACGGCCCCCTATCTTGCCCCTGCTCTGTCACACACAGCGTTTCCAGAACGCGGTCGGGGTGGGCCCCAGGTGAGCTTTGGGAGGCGCCCGGCTGAGGCTCTGCACTGGGGCCCGCGCTTCGGGAAGCATCTCGCTCGCGTCTCGCGCGCCGCCAGACCGGAGCCTTCGCGAGGCGTGCAGCGGACCCCGCAGGCCGTGAGCGTGGGGCCCGCGCGCAGCCAGGGGCCACCGAGGGCAGACGCTGCGCGGGCAGCGCCCGGGAACCCTCCGACCTCGCGCTCCCCTCGTCCGCGCCCCGACCCCACGTCTCCGGCGGCCCAGCCCGTTCGGCGTCACCGGCTCTGGAGCAAACGGCCCTGCCCGCCGGAGGACGGAGGCCGGCGCAGGACACGACGCACCGGCTTCCGGCTCGGAAGCCCAGAACAGCGCAGCAGCGGTGGCGCGGCCCAGGGCGCAGGCGCGGGCGTCGGTCCCACGGCGCGTCGCCCTCGCTCCAGCCCCGGCGAATCCCTTCGAATCCGGCCAACGTCGGGAAATACCAGCCAATCACGGCGCGCGCTGCTGACGCCGGCCAATGGGAGCTCCGGCAGGCGGCGTGGCGACGTCGGCGGCGGGCGGCTTGGAGACGCGGCCGCGGGCGATGATGGCGGCTCGGCGCGGGGCTCTCATAGTGCTGGAGGGCATGGACCGCGCGGGGAAGAGCACGCAGAGCCGCAAGCTGGTGGACGCCCTGTGCGCCCTGGGGCACCGCGCCGAGCTGCTCCGCTTCCCGGGTGGGTGCGCGCGGCGGGGGCCGGGGGTGCGCCGCGGCCTTAGGCACCTCTGCGTTGCCTGTGGCCGACGTGCTGTCAGCTGCGCGGTTTTCTTGTTAACAGACCGGCTCTCGCTCTCGCCCAGGCTGGAGTGCGGTGGCGCCGTCTCGGCTCACGGCAACCTCGACCTCCCGGGCTCAAGCGATCCTCCCGGCTAGCGGGGACCACAGGCACGCACCACCACCCCTTGCCCACGCTGCGCGTCTTTGAAGTGCAGGGTTTGGTGACGCCTGACTCCTCAAGCCGCGCGAAACCGTGGTCTCGGCCCCGAAAGTTTTCTCCGGCTCTTTTGTAATCCATGTCTCCTTGTCATGGGTTTTTCGGTGTTGTGTTTTGTTTCTTCGTGCTTTCAGGGGTTTTATAGCATATATTTAAAAGTTTTCAAGTAAAGCATTGACCTAAATTTTAGACCAGCTAGTTCACAGTTTTTATAAATGCTTTCTTTGCAGTCTCTACTTTCTACCCGAGCTCATTTTTCCTAAAGCATTTTAATTTTTTTTTTTTTTTTTGAGACGGAGTTTCGCTCTTGTTACCCAGACTGGAGTGCAATGACGCGATCTCGGCTCACTGCAACCTCCGCCTCCTGGGTTCAGGCAATTCTCCTGCCTCAGCCTCCTGAGTAGCTGGGACCACAGGCGGGCACCACCATGCCCAGCTAATTTTTGTATTTTTAGTAGGGACGGTGTTTCACCATGTTGACCAGGATGGTCTCGATCTCTTGACCTCATGATCCACCCTCCTCGGCCTCCCAAAGTGCTGGGATTATAGGCGTGAGTCACCGCGCCCAGCCCCTAAAGCATTTTTCATCCAGCTTGTCTGCACATTGCTATTCTTTCTCAGAGAAATTCCTTTGGCTTCCTCAGAAGGTCCAAACCTCTCTAGAGGTTTAGTAAAGTTAAACTCAAAGTGAGACTTGAATCCAGGAGAGATTCAGCCCAGACTGTAATGTAGAGGGAAAGCTTGACCTCACTTGTATGTTGTGTGTTTTCTTTCCTAGAAAGATCAACTGAAATTGGCAAACTTCTGAGTTCCTACTTGGAAAAGAAAAGTGATTTGGAGGATCACTCCGTGCACCTGCTTTTTTCTGCAAATCGCTGGGAACAAGTGTAAAGACCATTGCACGTTGCTGCCTCTTCCCCTGGCACTTTGCTTTCTCCAAGATTCAGTGAATACAGCACTTGATTCTGAATGACAGTGACAGTAATGCTGGAGCCTGAGGTTCTCTTATTTAGCAGTCCAGTGAGCAGAGGTGGTGAAGCCCATAGTTCTCAAAGGGCGCTAATAAATGCTGTTTCTTCCCCCTGCTCCCACACCCCATAACTAATAGACTTAAGTTTTTAGGTTTTTGTTGTTGTTTTTTTTTTTTGTGACAGTCTTGCTCTATTGAAGCGCTGTGGTGCGATCTCGGCTCACTGTATCCTCTTGCCTCCTGGGTTCAAGTGGTTCTCCTGCCTCAGCCTCCTCAGTAGCTGGTACTACAGGCGTGTACCACCACACCTGGCTAATTTTTTATATTTTTAGTAGAGACGGCGTTTCACCATGTTGGCCAGGATGGTCTTGATTTGACCTCGTGACCTACCCACGTCGGTCTCCCAAAGTGCTGGGATTACAGGCAGGAGCCAGCATGCCCGGCCAATTTTTGGGTTTTTTTTTTTCCTTTTTGAGACAGAGTCTCACTCTGTTGCCAGGTTGGAGTGCAGTGGTGCGATCCTGACTCACTGCAACCTCCACCTCCTGGGTCCAAGCAATTCTCTGCCTCAGACTCCTGCTGGGACTATAGGCATGCGTTGTCAAACCCAGCTCATTTTTGGCCAAGATGGTCTCAGTCGCTTGACCTCAAGTGATCTGTCCATCTCTGCCTCCCAAAGTGCTGGGATTACAGGTGTGAGCCACCATGCCTTTTTTTTTTGGAAACGGGGTCTTGCTCTGTGGCCCAGGCTGGAGTGCAGTGGCACACAGTCATGGCTCACTGCAGCCTCAACTTCCTAGGCTCAAGCAGTCCTCCCACCTCAGCAGCCAGAGTAGCTTGGGACCGTAGGTTCATGCTACAAAGCCCAGCTAATTTTTTTTTTTCAATGTAGTGACAAGGTGTCACCATATTGCTCAGGCTGGTCTTAAACCCCTGGCCTTGTAGACTTAATCTTTTAAAGATAGCTTTAGGTATATAGAAAAACTAACCAAGGGTGGGTACGGTGGCTCACGCCTATAATCCCAGCACTTTGGGAGGCTGAGGTGGGTGGATCAAGAGGTCAAGAGATCGAGACCATCCTGGTCAACATGGTGAAACCCCGTCTCTACTAAAAATGCAAAAATTAGCTGGGCGTGGTGGCCTGTGCCTGTAGTCCCAGCTACTTGGGAGGCTGAGGCAGGAGAATTGCTTGAACCCAGGAGGTGGAGATTGCAGTGAGCTGAGATTGTGCCATTGCACTCCAGCCTGAATAATAAGAGCAAAACTCTGTCTCAGAAAAAAAGAAAAACTAATCAAAAAGTAGAGTGTGTAGAGAATTCCCTACATACTACCCCTGCCTTCCCCCTTCTTCATTATTTATATGCTTGATTATGTCATATTTGTTAAAATTGATACCCAGTATTGCTAAATCGTTAACTGAAAGTTATAGTTTATATTAATAACCCACCAATCATAGTAGGTTTCCTCTTCATTCAACACTTAATGTTTACGTGTATTCTTTCAGGTGTTTTTATTTACATTTATATACATATGTAGAAACTAGTTAGAATTTTGAGTTTTCTAACGTAAATGAGGTCATGCCATACACATTATTTGGCAGCTTACTTTCTAACTCTGCCTTAGAGATTTCTGCACTTACGGATCCCCTAACTCTGCCCTTGTCATTCTTTTTCATTGCTGTGGCGTGGTCTCTGGAAAAGCTCATCTGTGGTTCATTTAGCCATTCTCTGCTGGTAAACTTGCGTGGTTCCCCTGATCCTGTCACGTGAAATCCTGCATTACTCTTCTGGCTTAGCGTTGTGTCTTACTTGGAAAGGCCATCCCCACTCCAAGTCTTAAATGAAAATGTGACCAGTTCTTTTTTTTTTTTTTTTGAGACAGAGTCTCACTTTGTCACCAGGCACCAGGCTGGAGTGCAGTGGCACAATCTCGGCTCACTGCAACCTCCGCCTCCCGGGTTCAAGCAATTCTCCTGCCTCAGCCTCCCAAGTAGCTGGGATTACAGGCACATGCCACCACGCCCAGCTAATTTTTGTATTTTTAGTAGAGATGGGGTTTCACCATGTTGGCCAGGATGGTCTCGATCTCTTGACCTCGTGATCCACCCGCCTTGGCCTCCCGAAGTGCTGGGATTACAGGCTTGAGCCACCATGCCCAGCTGTGACCAGTTCTGTAATCTTTTTAACACATCTAGAATTTATGGAGCTAGTTATTCTGATATTGCTTTTTGTGGCTTTGTAGAAAAGTGATGAAGTACGTATATGCCCAATTCAAAATGAAGAATAACTGATTTTACTTTTTAGATGGTGATCTTGTCCCAGGTGCCCAGGGCTACATCTTTTTTGTCCATCTGTTCTGCTGCAAGTTGCCTGTTTAAGTTTCCTGTGTCTAATCATGGCTTGACCGTTCATTTCCTTTTCTTTTTTGAGACAAGAGTCTCGCTCTGTTGTTCAGGCTGGAGTGCAGTGGCCCAATCACGGCTCACTGCAACCTCCATTTCCTGAGTTCAAGCAATTCTCCTGCCTTATCCTCCTGAGTAGCTGGGATTACAGGCGCGCACCACCATGCCCAGCTAATTTTTATATTTTAGTAGACAGGATTTCACCATGTTGGCCAGGCTGGTCTTGAACTCCTGACCTCAAGTGATCCTCCCACCTCAGCCTCCCATAGTGCTGGGATTACAGGCGTGAGCCACCTTGCCCGACCAGTAGTTCATTTCTTTTTTGTCCTAATTAATAGGCCATTGTTGGATGTACCATAGTTCATTCACCTCCTAAAGGACCTCTTCATTGCTTCCAACTTTTGGCAGTTATAAATAAATCTGTTATAAACATCTGCGTGCAGGATTTTGTGTGGTCATAAGCTTTCACCTCTTCTGGGTAAATGCCAGGGAGCACCATTGCGTTAACATATGGTAAGACCGTTTTTTGTTTTTTTTTTGAGATGGAGTTTCGCTCTTGTTACCCAGGCTGGAGTGCAATGGCGCGATCTCGGCTCACCACAGCCTCTGCCTCCTGGGTTCAGGCAGTTCTCCTGCCTCAGCCTCCTGAGTAGCTGGGATTACAGGCACGCGCCACCACACCTGGCTAATTTTTTGTATTTTTAGTAGAGATGGGGTTTCACCATGTTGACCAGGATGGTCTCCATCTCTTGACCTTGTGATCCACCCGCCTCAGCCTCCCAAAGTGCTGGGATTACAGGCTTGAGCCACTGCGCCTGGCCTAAGACTTACTTTTCTAAAGAACGTTCAACCATGGGTGTCCAATCTTTTGGCTTCCCTGGGTCACACTGGAAGAACTGTCTTGGGCCACGCATAAAATACACTAACACTTGCTGATGAGCTTAAAAAAAAAAAAAAAAGAATCATAATGTTTTAACAAAGCTTACCAATTAGTGTTGGGCGGCATGCACCCTGTGGGCCTCGGGTTGGACAAGCTTGTGCTAAACTCTCCAAAGCGGCTGCAGCGTTTTGCGTTCTCACCCACAGTGAGTGAGGGTTCCCACTGCTCAGATCCTCACCAGCATTTGGTGGTGCTGCTGTTGGGACTGTTGCCCTTCTCATAGGGGTGTGTGGTGTCTGCTTTAGTTTGCATTTCCCTGATGGCATATGATGTGGACCATCTTTTCATGTGCTTATTTGCCATCTGTGTATCTGGTTTCATGAGATACCTGTTAAGTGCTTTGGCCCACTCTTGTCTTGAGACCTGGTCTCAGCCAGGCTGGAGTCCACTGGCATACTCTTGGTTCACTGCAGCCCCTACCTCCCAGGCTCTAGCGATCCTCCTGCCTTAGCCTCCCAAGTAGCTGGGACTACAGGTGCATGCCATCATGCTAAGTTGTTTTTTGAGACAGTTTTGCTCTTGTTGCCCAGGTTGGAGTGCAATGAGGCAATTTGGCTCACTGCAACTTCCGTCTCCTGGGTTCAAGCAATTCCTCTGCCTTAGCCTCCCAAGTAGCTGGGATTACAGGTACTTTCCACCACACCTGGCTTTTTTGTACTTTTAGTAGAGATGGGGTTTCCTGTTGCCCAGGCTGGTCTTGAACCCTTGACCTTAGGTGGTCCACCTGCCTTGGCCTCCCAGAGTGCTGGGATTATAGGCATGAGCCACTGTGCTTGGCCAGTTTTGTATTTTTGTTTTGAGGAGATGTGGTTTCGCCGTGTTGCCCAGGTTGGTCTCAAATTCCTGGGATCAAGTGGTCAATCCGCTCCAGCCTCCCAAAGTGTTGGGAATACAGGTGTGTGCCATTATGCCCAGCCTTGGCCCACTTTTTAATGGGGTTTTCTTATTTTCGAGTTTTAAGAGTTCTTTGTATGGTTTGGAGACCATTCGTTTATAAAATGTGTCTTGTACATATTTTCCCCTAGGCTCTGGTTTGTGTTCAGTTTTCTCACTGTTCTTTCTTTTTTAGACAGGGTCTCTGTCATGCACGCTGAGTGCGGTGGTGCAGTCCCAGCTCACTGCAGCCTCAACGTCCCGGGCTCAAGTGATCTTCCCATCTTAGCCTCCCAAGTAGCTGCAGCTACAAGCACGCACATTAACACACCTGGCTAATTTTTGTAAATTTTTTTTGTAGATATAGTTTCACTATTGTTGCCCAGGCTGGTCTTGAACTCCTGGACCCAACAGTCCTCCTGCCTTGGTTTTCCAAAGTGCTGGGATTAGAGGCATGACCTACCCTGCCTGCCCAGCCTTTTTTTTTTTTTTTTTTTTTTTTTTTAAAAAAAGAGACATGTCTTCCTCTGTTGCCCGGGCTGGAATGTTATGGCATGATCATAGCTTACCACAGTCTTAAACTCCTGGCTTCAAGTGATCCTCCCGCCTCAGCCTCTGGAGTAGCTGGGACTACAGGTGCATGCCACTATACCTGGCTCGTTTTTACATTTTTTTGTAGAGATGAGGTCTCACTGTTGTTGCTCAGGCCGGTCTCAAACACCTGTCCTCAAGGGATCCATCCCACCACAGCTTCTAAAAGTGCTGGGTTGCAGGCGTGAGCCGCCACACTCAGCTGTCCTTTCCTTCTCTTCAGTGTCTCACAAAGCACAAACGTTTTATTTTAGTGAAGTCCATCTGAATTCTTTCATGGGTTGTTCCTTTAGTTTTTTATCTAAACAGTCTGCCAAAACCCAGGTGATGTAAGTTTTCTCCTGTGTTACTGTTTGACAGTTTTGCGTTTTCCATCTGGGTCTGTGATTCATTTTGAATTTGTTTGTGGAGGGAAAGCAGTCGGGTCTAGATTTACTCTTAGGTGAGGACATCTGGTTGCTCAGTGTTTGCTGAGGAGCCTGCCTCTGCACCGTCACGCTCCTCTGCTCCTTTGTCAGAGGTCAGTGGACTCTATGCAGGTGCTGCTGTGATTCCAAGGCCCCAGTGAGACTGGCTGAGTCAAATGAATCTGACTTTTCCTTCTCTGGCTTGAGCAAGGCTGCTCAGTAGTATCAGGCCCCATGTCTTTGTACATCCGTGATCTTGGGGCTGGAGGGTGCTGGTGGGCCTGTGGTATTTGGTTGAGAACATCCTGCAGTCCAGGCCAGGGGCCACGAGCATGGATGATCCAGTCACTTGCTGGCTGTGGGGCTGTGGCCCCCTCCCCACCCCCAGCTCTCTTCTCGGCCTGTGCTTTCCGTTTTCTCCACAGGGTGGTGCTGGCCTCTCTGCCCAGACAGATGTGCCCCGACATGGCTTCTTTCCCCTGCCGTGTTTCTGGAACGTGGAACTTTACCAGTTGTGTTTGTTACTGTTTAGTGAGGTTATCTTTTCCATGTTGCGTTGCTGGGGGGGAGTGCATGTGGCATCTTCCAGAGAGGATCCAGAGCCTTTTTGAATAAAAATCAGGTTACAAATCACTGTGCTATACTTGGCATGTGGGGTTTTTGAGATGTGTTATTGGGATAATTTAAGCTTGACAGTTCAAAGCCTATGAAACCAGGACCGGGGCTCAGGAGCATCCTCTGTTTTTCAGGCCATTAATTAAGGAAAAGTTGAGCCAGGGTGTGACCCTCGTCATGGACAGATACGCATTTTCTGGTGTGGCCTTCTCCGGTGCCAAGGAGGTGAGTGCACCTGGCCTCCTGTCGGGCAAGGGCAGGCGTGAGGGCCCAGGGCTGCTCTTGGATGCGCCCGTTTGACATGCCTTTGATCACTCTGCAGTTTTGTGATTCTTAGATTCCTTTTATTGCTTTGCTAGATTAATTTGGTTATCTTTTTTTTTTCTTTTGAGATGGAGTTTCACTCTTGTTGCAGGCTGGAGTGCAATGGCACAATCCCGGATACCGCAACCTCCGCCTCCTGGGTTCAAGTGATTCTCCTATTGTCGGTCTCCTGAGTAGCTGGGATTACAGGCATATGCCACCACACCTGGCTAGTTTTGTGTTTTTTACTAGAGACGGGGTTTCTCCATGTTGGCCAGGCTGGTTTTGAACTCCCGACCTCAGGTGATCCACCCGCCTTGGCCTCCCAAAGTGCTGGGATTACAGACATGAGCAACTGTGCCTGGCAATTTGGTTTTATCAAGAAGAGCAAACATTTTTATAGCTAAAGACTGTTTTCACAGATAGAATCATAGTTATTTGGATGGCATTTTCCACATGGATTTTTTTCTTTGGGACGTAGTGTCACTCTCACCCAGGCTGGAGTTCAGTGGCGCAATCTGAGTTCATTGTAACCTCTGCCTCTCAGATTCAATCCATCTTGCCTCAGCCCCGGAGCATCTGGGATTATAGCCACTATGCCCAGCTAATTTTCATGTTTTTAGTAAAGACAGCGTTTTACCATGTTGGCCAGGCTGGTCTGAAACTCCCGACCTCAGGTGAACCAGCCACCTTGGCCTCCCAAAGTGCTCCCAACTGTGAGCTGCTGTGCCCAGCCTCCAGATGCATTTTCCAAGATGGTTCATTGATAATGCGTTTTTTCCCCCTTTTTTTGAGAGAGGGTGTTTCCGTCTGTCACCCTCTGGCTGGAGTGCAGTGGAACAAAGCTTGCTATAATCTTCAACCCAGGCTCAAGTGATCCTCCCCCGTCAGCTTCCCAGAGTGCTGAGCTGACAGCTGTGAGCCGCTGCGCCCAGCTCTGTCCCTTAGAGAGACGGTAAAGAAGGAGACCATCTGGTTATTTTTCATGATAGCCGCCCTAACTTTTTAATTCTGCCATTTCTTCATGTGTTAGCTTCAGTCCCTCCCCTCTGAAGTACTAAGTTGTATAGTAAGGAGGACTTGTTCCTGCTGTGGGGATCAGCCCACAGAGCCGCAGGCCTGGTAGGAGGTGCTGGTGGACACCCTCCCTCAGCTCATGGTGCTGTGTGTGATGTGTGGCCTGGAGTCACAGCCTTTCTGTCCTACCTGTCCTCCAGAAACACAACAGCATTTTAGGGGGAGACAGGCTAAGGGAGGCGTCCTGGGCAAGGGGTCTCCAGGGGCTCCGTACAGAGACTGTTCCTCCTGGCCAGCAGACCTGTAGCTGCACTGGAAGGCCTCCGTGGGGCCTGGGCTGTGTGTGACGGGGACCAGGAGCCATTCTACCTACTTTCCGTCCACTGGTGCATGTGTCTACCAAGGAAAAACGAGAAGATGACATCGGAGAAAGCAATACATTTGAGGTTTTAATAATTTAAAAAAGAGGGCTGGGCGTGGTGGCACATGCCTGTAATCCCAGCACTTTGGGAGGCCGAGGCGGGCAGATCACGAGGTCAGGAGATCGAAACCATCCTGGCCAACATGGTGAAACCTGGTCTCTACTAAAAATACAAACAACTTAGCTGGACGTGGTGGCGCACACCTGTAGTCCCAGCTTCTCGGGAGGCTGAGGCAGAACTGCTTGAACCCAGGAGGTGGAGATTGTGCCACTGCACTACAGCCTGGGCGACAGTGTCAGTCTCACTTCTTGGTACCTCACTAAATGTCCCCTCATTTTTTCCCATTTTTGTGATTTTTTAAACGAAAATCTAGACCACACTAAGCTTTACCTGTTGCATTCTTTGTTGGCAGAATTTTTCCCTAGATTGGTGCAAGCAGCCGGACGTGGGCCTTCCCAGACCCGACCTGGTCCTGTTCCTCCAGTTACAGTTGGCAGATGCCGCCAAGAGGAGCGCATTCGGCCATGAGCGCTATGAGAATGGGGCTTTCCAGGAGCGTGCGCTGCAGTGTTTCCACCAGCTCATGAGAGACACGACTGTGAACTGGAAGGTGAGGCTCGGAACTGCACGCTAGGAATCATTGAGAAGTGGCTCAGGGTGAATTGCGGTGATGGGGGCAATTGGACCAGCAGAGCTGCCGCCGTTTCCATCTGGTCTTCCCAGATGTGGAGCCCCAGGAGCAGCTGTTCGGGGGTTCTCAGTGCCAGCAAATTCCTTTTTCTTTTTTTTAATTTTTAGTAGAGGTGGGGTTTCACCATGTTGGGGAGGTTGGTCTAACTCCTGACCTCAGGTGATCCGCCCACTTCAGGCTCCCGAAGTGCTGGGATTACAGGCGTGAGCCACCGTGCCCAGCCCCTTTTTAAGACAGAGTCTCACTCTGTCACCCAGGCTGGAGTGCAGTTTCCCCATGTCGGCTCACTGCAACCTCCGCCTCCTAGATTCAAGCGGTTCTCCTGCCTCAGCCTCCCAAGTAGCTGGGATTACGGGCATGCACCACCATGCCCGGCTAATTATGTATTTTTAGTAGAGATGGGGTTTCACCATCTTGGCTAGGTTGGTCTTGAACTCCTGACCTCATGATCCACCCGCTTCAGCCTCCCAAAATGCTGGGATTACAGGCGTGAGCCACCATGCCCAGCCTAGTGCCTGCAAATCCTAATCCTCTGTTGAGTTTTACACAATGTGACATTTGACACCTGGGCTGGTGGGCCAGGTGACAGTCTGCATAGTCCTCCACATCTGTGGCCCCTCTTCAGACATGAGTGCCAGCCTGGTCCTGCCAGTGTCGTCTGGTGCAGCCTCTTGCCGGCGTGGGGCCCTGCAGCTGCACCTGGCCGTTGGAGTGCAGGATGGAGCTGTGTGCTGGCTTTTTCCCTTCAGCCATGCATCCTTCCGTCTCAGCAGTCCCAGGAGTCCACCCCACTCTCTGTCCAGTCCCAGGATGCTGGACTCTCCCCTGCAGTGGACACGCAGGCTGACCACCTCTGCCCCTCCCAACTGCAGCCCCCACTTCTCTCCCAGACTCCAGGTGCCCGTGCTCAGCACTGCCCGTCACGGCCTATTTCCAGCAGCCAGGGCTTCCAGCATGTCGAGCATCAGCACCGTCGCTTGTGGCCGTGGCTTGCAGAGCTTCGGTCCCTTGAGCTCCTCCACCAGAGCAGGGCCAAGGGTCTCACCCCAGCCCAACTGCCTGCAGGTGATGCTGGCCACACAGCTTTCCACTTCCCAGAACACAGGCTGGATGGCAGTGCATTCTCTGGCAGTCAGTTGCCTGGAGAGGCCCGTCCTGGACAGTTCTGGGCGGCTGTGTGGCGGCACCCTGGCCAGCAAGGGGCATCTGGGAAGGTGGCCTGTGTAGGGAGTCACTCTCCTTTCATCATGGTCACACCTCGTGAAATGGTTAGTCTTCGAGTACCTTCGTACCTTCGATGCCCTGGCAGATTTTCCAGACCTTGCTGTCCCAGAGGCTTGAGAAGGGTCCTGCTCATCCCAGCTACAGAAGCCGGGATGCCGCTGAGACGGCAGGGCTTCTGAGCCCCTCACGTGCCTCCCTTCTGGTGGAGAGAAGTCTCCTGCGGGCTGACTCCCTCCCCGTGTTCCTCGAACCACTCACGCCAGGGTGCAGCACAGCTGTTAGGACCAAATTCATCTTTCCCTCAGGGACAAGGCGGATCAGTGTTGCCTTGGTCCCACTGTGTGGCTTCTGTAACGGAACTTCCTCACATTCCAGGCAGTGCCCAGGCGCCTCTGGGAGCCACAGGAGTATGGGCCTGCCCTCTGTTCTGAGTCCCTGCTCGAGCTGGAGGGACAGTCACCCCGACCTGGTATGCCTGGTGGGCTGGGTAGGCCTGGCTGTGCCTCACTCCTGCAGGCGGGCACTTGCTGGGGTTGGGGTCACAAGGAGAGCAGGCGTGGGCAGGAGGCTCACCATGTTTCTCTGCATCAGGGCTGTGGCAGGAATGCCTGCTGGCTCTATGTCATGGACTGTTAAGGTTTAGGTTCAGAAAAAAGTATAGAGTGAAGGGTCCTGGAGGTCACCACACCGGCCAGGAGGTTCAGATCGGCCTTCCGGAGCCTGGCCTGTGAAAGCCCCACATGCAAAGAACAGAGTAAAACATGGCTTTCAGACAGGGTCTCACTGTGTCCCCCAGGCTGGAGTACAGTGGTGCCCAATTTTTTGTAGAGATGGGGTCTCCCTATGTAGTCCAGGCTGGTCTTGAACTCCTGGGCACATCCTCCCTCATGGGCCTCCCGAAGTGCTGGGATTACAGACGTGGGCTCCCATGCCCAGCCTCGAAGGTGCTGATGAGCTGCTTTTTCTCCTGAAACCCGTGGGAACAGATGGTGGATGCTTCCAAAAGCATTGAAGCTGTCCATGAGGACATCCTTGTGCTCGCTGAGGACGCCATCCGCACCGCCACAGAGAAGCCGCTGGGGGAGCTGTGGAAGTGACCCCAGGCTGCCCACTGGACGCCTCACCCTGCACGCCCTCACGAGGTGGGAGACCCATGGAAGGCCCACGTCCCCAGTGGTGCCCACACTCCACGACTTCAGCTCTTTCCTGGAAGCAGAGATACACAGGCTGCCTCTCCTGCCCCGCAGTTGGGGTGTGGTGGGGACCTTGGTGGTGTGGACACAAGCAGAGCGATGGAGCAGTCTGCTGCCCTCTCCCTTGTCCTGATGATACTGTTGTGTTTTCTTAGTGATGTTCAGTGGTAACTGAGCAGTTTCATTGCCATCATTGCAAATGGCAATCAGTTGGAATTCTCTCTGAAATGTCTTCCAGACACTAGTAAAAATTGACCTGAAAATTGTTTATGGATTTTTCTTAGATACCATCTAAGGACTGAGCTGGCTTTGAATGGGAATCTCCATCCCAGGGGAGAAGAGCTAATTGGGCCCAGTAGGGCTTTCTGGACCTTGGTTCCCGCCTACTTGAGGAGTTCCCCGGGGGCCTGAAGAGTCGCAGCCATGCCATTCCCGAGCGTCAGCACAGCTTACATCCTCAGTACACCTAAGTTAACTCTGCTGTTTTCATTGCACCCAGAGCTTTTCATCCCATCCCTTATTTTTTTGGGAACAGGGTCTGTCTCTGTTGCCCAGGCTGGAGTGCAGTGGCAAGATCATAGCTCACTGCGGCCTTGACCTCCTGGCTCAGGTGATCCTCTCACTTCAGCCTCCTGAGTAGCTAGGCCTACATACAGGCCTGTTCACCATGCCTGGCTAACTTTTTTGTAGAGACAGGATTTTGCTATGTTGCCCACCAGACTGGTCTCAGACTCCTGGGCTCAAGTGACCCACCCGCCTTGGCCTCCCAAAGTGCTGGGATTGCAGGCATGTGCCACCGTGCCCAGCTTATCACAGGGGTCCACATAACCGAGGCAGGTGGGGCCGAGGCAGGAAGTGCGATGCCAGCAGCAGAAGCTGGAGATGCTATGCTGTGTTGCTGGCTGTGAGGCTGGAGGAAAGCCATGAGCCCAGCAATTTCTGGCATCCGGGAGGTAGGAAAGACATGGAAATGTTCTCCCCTAGGGTCTCCAGAGGAGCAGCCCTGCCCACAGCACGGTCAGGAAGAGGCTGTGCTGCTCCAGGCACTGAACGTCATCCTCTCAGAGCAGCCGCAAGAACTGAATACGAGCATTTGAGTGAACACAAGTCCTCAGCCAGCTCACCAGGGCCTTGCAGTGCCCCCTCCTGCCTGGCTTTGGGCCTTTCATACCTGTACCAGGACTGCCCACAGGGATGCATGGGCCAGAGTGAGCCCTCACCAAGCCCCCTGCTGCGCCCCAGGCAGTCACTGCTTTGTGGGGAAGGCTCTACTGTGCTTCAGCCTGAGGCAAACCCTAAACCTTGTGGCACTTTCTGCAGCTTCCTCCTGTTAAGAATGGGAAGCACCATCTGACTTGCCTGTAATCTGATTTTCCTTGGACTTTTTCCTTCTAGGGTTGTATGAGGCGACAGATGACATGACCCATTGAGAGCCAGGCTTCAGGCAGGACGGGCCCTCTGCCAGGGCTAGGGAGGCACCTGCTCATGCTCCCACAGCTGCCACACAGGCAGCCACATCACTCATTTTTTTCTGAAATCATTCAGTTGTAACTTGAGGAAAAAATACACACAAGGTTTGTTTTCTACTGAAACTTATTATTTGCCATGAAGAATTGCAAACTATACTACTAAGAATGAACAACATTCTCTGTTAGGCCTTTTCCAAAACACGCAGGACAAGCTCCCCTTCGGTCAGGGTGTTCCACCACTTCTACGCAGCAGCCCCACAGCCCAGCACAACAGCACGCTGTGGACTCAGACACAGCCCCAGGAGTGGAGACCCCACACCCACGCCTTCCCGCCTTCCCACCCCAACCTACACCCAAGGGAGAAAGAATACGAGGAAATAAACCATCTCATCAATGCTTGGGGGACTGGGAGTGTCCTCTGCCACCTGGTGGGCCTGTTCCAGGGCATCTCCAAGCCCCTCTTCCATACAAGCAGTAGCAAGTCGTGCGGGCACCTAGGTGGGTGCTCGTGAGAAAGGTGCCAGCAGCCCACCACACCCACGCACCCCAAGCCCTCCTGCTTACATTTCCTAGTGGGGCAAAAAACCCACTTTCCCACGACAGGCAGCAGAGCAGCGGGGCAGAGCACACTTGGGGACCCAGGACAGCAGGTTACACATGGTCAGGCGGTGGTGGGTGCTAGAATCAGGGATGAGGTTCTGGAAATGCCACCAGGTGATGCCACCCTGTGGTGTCTGTGCCACAGACACATGCCACAAGGCTCGAGTGGTTTTTCCCTTTTGGCCCAAGTCACCTAGAACCTCAGTGACACGAGAGGGCACTTCTCAGCAAGGCAAGGACACGGGAAAGCTCCTGGGAGTGGCACTGTCCACCCTCGAGCCCGACTGTCACAGGTGGAGGCCCTGCCCCACCTCTCACCACCCCTGGGGAAGCTGGAGTGATGCATCAGCCGCAGCGGCGCCACAGAATACCACAGCCCTTGAAAGGGACGCTCTGAGGACGGTGGCTCCAGCAGCCGCCCTTCTGCCCAGGCCACGCCCTGGGTTTCCCACACACCCACACCTGAATATTCTTCTCCCTACAGCAAGGTGCAAGCTTGCCTCTGCTCCTCCAACCTCATCCCCCATTGAGGTAGCCCTTGGTAAGCCAGGCTGGGCAGACAGGACACAGCGTGGGCACCCCCCTCGAGAGCAGCCCAGTCCTCGGGCCTGGGGCCGCAGTGTGGCTGTCGCTTCTCTCACACCAGCGTGCAGAGGTCTTCTGAGACTCGGACTCAGGAAGTGCCCCAGAAATTCATGTCTGTGCCTGACAACTTCAAACAGGACTTTAATTCCAAACCAACCACAGAACTGGTGCCTGGGAGCAAGTGGGACCGAGGCCCAGGTGCGACCGCGGGGCTGGCGGTGTCGAGAACGCTCTGGAAGCTCCTAACCGACGGCTCCGGGTGCGGATGCACAGGCCCTGACAGGCACTCTGGGCTGGGCAGTCTGACACCAAGCAGTAAGGCCTCAGTCCACGAGCAGAGCGGGTGGCCCCCGGGGGGAGGCGGCACGGGGCGCGGCCCTCGGCAAGCGAGCGGGCGGGATGGATGAAACGCAGCGGCACCGGGAACCCGAGACAGGGCCCAGCTCTCGCAGGCACCATCCCCCGACCCCAGGATTTTCAAAGGGACAGGATTTCAAAGTCTTCATCTTCTGAGTCAAAGAATCTTTCCAGTCGCTCTACGTCAGAAGAATCTAGAAGGGACAGGACACAGTTCATCAGTCATCTCGGGGAGACTACTTGGGTGTGAGTGAAGCGCCCTCGGGGCAGACTGAGCAGCACCTGGTCTGCAGCCCACCCTGAGGGGCCCACAGGCAGCTGTCCCCAGGGGGTATGAACAGGCCCAGGGTGCATGGAGTACAAGGGGAGGGGGCAGGGAAGAGGAGTGAGGTGGTGGGGTAAGGAGGGCAGGGGTGGCCTGCACAATCTCTGTCCTGTCTCCCTCGCTGCACCCAGCCCTCCGTGGTCCTCAGTTGTGTGGGTCCATTGCCTCGCAGTGTTTCACAGCGAGACGGATGAGGAGGACGTGCTCACGGCCACACATCTGCTTCCCCGCGCGAGCCCAGGCCGGCTCCTTGAGCAAGCTGGCCATGGTCCCAGGGGTCTGCACCACCCATGGACAGTGGTACTGAAGTGGAACAGTCCCCGACCCAGGACGATGTCATCACAGGCCTCTGTGTTCTGTCTGCTCCAGAGCCCTGAGGACTCCATGGGAGCACACCCAGCTCCACAGTGCCCGGGGCAGGTGCCACAGGTGGGGAAGGTGAGGCGGGTCCTGGGCTGCTGGATGAAGGCTCGGAGGGGACACTCCACTCTGCCCCTGGCCTTGCAGGCCGACCACCACCAACTTGCTCACGGCTCAGGCCCACACACACTTTAGTGGTCAAAACCAAGGGGGCCAGGGCTGGGGAAGCAAGAAGGGCACAGACTGCATGCCAAGGGACCCCACCAGGCTTGGTCCTGCAGCTGCAGCACTCACCTAGGGACAGGTTCAGGACGTCGGGGCAGGCCAGGTGTGAAGGCTGCTGCTCCACCAGCTCAAACATGGGCAGGGCACCTCCAAGCAGAGACAGCTGTGAGGGAGACATGGCGGTTAAGTGTGGCCTCACCCCAGGGCTCCCTGCAGCCAAGAGAAAGGGGCCGGCCGGCCACAGCCAGGGGACAAACACGACTTATCCCACTTCATGGATGAGAAACACGCAGCTTCCACACTAAAGGCCACACAAGAACCCAATATGGTGACCAACACCCAGCACAGTCTGACCACAATGGCAGAGAGGGGCAGGCTGCACGTACTCAGCCAGCACAGCCTGGCCCCCCATCACCACCCCATCTCAACAGCAGACGGACAAGGATGCTGGAAATCTACTCTAAAGTCAGCATGAAGCATCTGTCCCTAGGGCTGCTGTGTTGCCAGGGGGACAATCCAGGATGCTCCACTCTGTTCAGCTGCACAGCTGTGCCAGGCAGGACAAGGTTCCCCACAGCCCACTGAGGCTGCCTGAGACCTGGACGCCGGCCATCAGCCTCTGCATGCCCCGCAGCCTGTCTCCCTGGGTAGCTCAGCTCAGTGGTGGGTGGTGGGGCAGCAACAAACCTTTTTAACTTGCTGGCACCAGTCATTGAAGTCGTCTTCAGTCTTACAGAAAAACCCCTGAAATGAAATGACCATGAGCAGAACAGTACACTCAGGCCTGCAGTCAGCTAAGAGGAGGGGCTTCCACTCCCACTGCCAGAGGCGCAGCAGAGGACCCAGCGTGCAGGTGATCGACACTCCAGGCTGCCTCCACTCCTCTGGCCGGGAAGGGAGCCTGAGGGTGCCCTGTGCCCGGCCCCCTGCAGCAGTGCCCGGCTCCCCTCAGGCTCCACTACATTGCTCCGCCTTGATTCACCCCTGAGATGTTATGTGGTGTGTATCTGCTAGGCCTCACCAAATCCTCCGGGAATGAAGCAGGTTATCAGTCTGGGCCAAGTGGGGAGCTCCTCTCTCTGTGACTATGATGCAGGGCCGCGGGGCCTCAGCCTTCACCCAGCATCTCCCTGGAAGCTTGGCAGCAAAGGCCACTGAGACCTGCCCGAGGACAAGCAGCGGCCGCAGCCCTGACACAGGGTGCCTCCTGCTGAGGAGCCAGGAGAAGGGGCCTGCTGGTCCCTGGCAACCATGTTCTCAAAGCCGCTGTCTGGAATGGCAGTCACTGGGAATTCTCAACACTGCCAGATGTGCAGATGTGAACAGAAAAGGGAAGCGAAACGGGAAAACGGAAACAAAACGAGAGGAGGAGCTCAAGCCAGGCCCTGTTCCTCCGAAGACGCCGCTTCTGCTGCCCCGGCGCTGGCGCAGGAGCACTCTCCCCCTCCTCACTGCGGGGACAGTCATCCCACTGGGTGGTCCCTTTGGTCTCTGCTGCTCTGTGTTCACGAGGCCGCTCCCTAGCCTGACCTGACTCACTGTTAAGCCACCAAGCCATGTTGACAATAACCAACACAGCTAATTCTAGTTAGATGAGGAATTCGTGAATAGGTTCTGGTAAGAAGTCTGAGCCCGAGAGCTCCAGCCCACGTTCCCCACGCCTGCCACCCTGCCCAGGAGGTGCAGGTGGGGTGTACGCTCGAAGGCTGAGCCACGGCTCCGAGACCATCCCATTTCAGGCCCAGATCTGCCTTCCTCCTCCTAAACGGGGCAGAACATGCACATCAAACGCCCTGACTTGGTTAAATGCTTCCCTAAGCATGTCACTGCCATTCATTTTTTGGCCTCTTTCTTCAGCAAATACATTTGAGGGTAGGCAGGTCTGCATAAATCACACACCAAAAATCACAACCAGGTAATCAAAATGAAAGAACAGGACAGCTCGTTCTTAGGAAATCATCCCCCAGAGAGGTGAAGTCAGAGCCTCCGGAAAACACAAGGTGGTGTGAAGTGGGTCCAGGAGCCACCCCGTGTATTTAGAAAGTGGGTGTGAGGAGACACCATGGCTCACACTCATCCACGTACACTCAGCACGCGCCCACACATATCCACACCCAGACACACGCCCTCCGGGCCACCTGAAGGCCACGAAGGCTGCACAGGAGGCGGGTGCCTGGCGGAGGGACGCAAAGACACAAGGACACAGATCAGGCTCTTGTGCCCCTCAGATTCCAAACCACATGAACACAATACTAATCCCAGTATGTCGGAAAAAATGAAAAACCTGAAGGTTTTCCTCGTCATTCCCAAACAGCATTCGGCACAAAACGTCTGGGAAGAACGGCCTGTGTGCTCAGACGGCTGCCACGTACCACAGCGATGGACGGGTCGAGCTCGGCGATGCTCATGCGGCACGGCGGGTGCTGGCAGTGGAAGCTCTCATCCGGGATGAAGCAGCTGTCAGTGGGCTCCACGGCTGGCTGCGTGGTGTGGGGGTCCAGGTAGATGAGCTCCTCACCTGGGAGGTCAGGCAGGCAGGCAAACCAGCAGAGGAAAGGGACAAATGTGGCCGCATTTCAGGCCCGCTGCACCAACATCACACTGAGAAGCAGCGGGCAGAAGTGGGGAGGGAGCCGAGGGCGCCAGACCATCAGGGAAGACACACAGGAGGCCGACTGCGGCCAGGCTGCATGGCCCCAAGACCATGCTGCTTGTCCACGGCTGGCCTCAAGCAACCACCTGTGGTGTGGGACTTGCTCACAGCAGGCCCTTCGAGGGCACAGGCCTGCAGGGACACGGTGGGGACCCTGGACTCACCGACGTAGCCAATGAAGTAGTGGGCGCTGTTGGGCTTCCCTCCGATGACGCCCAGGGACTGGGGCATCATGAAGCAGTGCTGTGGGAGGGAGGAGACTTAGCGCAGGTCCCAGGCGGGAGCAGATGGGTCCCCCACCCACTGCCATAGGGGGCCCAAGAGCCTGCTGAGGCCCAACTGGGTTACACAAGAGGGGACAGAAGAGCTTCCTGTCCAGGAAAGACCACAGGACGTCCTACAGGTACAAGAAACCCAATCCGCAGGCTTGGCTCCAGGAAGCTTCATGTCACACGTGGGCTTTGGGGAGGACGGGAATGAAGGGCTGGCAGATGTGAGCAGGGTTGTGGGGGCAGCTGGGACACCTCAGGGTGGTCAGAAGGCTGGAGGGAGGGGCCAAGTTCAGACAACTGGATGATTTTAACAGAAAGCCACATTTCAGCTCCACACGGTAATGATCTCAAATGTGTCTCCTTGGTCTAAAACTAGAGTTAACGGAAGAAAGGATGGTTTTGCCTTTTGCTTTCATGACATGGGGGAGCCTGTGGCTGCAGCTCCTCAGGGAGCTCCGAGGCCTGTCCGTCACCTCCGAGCCCTGCCCACAAGCCAACCCACCCTCCAAAGGGAGCTAAGGTCAAGAGGGCCGTGGGGAAGGGGCAGGCATGCCTGGGGTACAGTGGAGACCCAGGAGGGCGCAGGGCTCCCCGTCAGGCTGAGGAGTGGCACCTGGTGCCGAGGACCCCTCCAAGCTCCGCATGCTTTCATTCCTGTGGAGCCACAGCAGCACACCTGCTGATGGACGTGTCTCACACCCACTCACCCCTTGGGAAACAGTACAAAGCGTGGCTGTTTACCCCCCCAGAGTGCTGGCTGCGCAGATGGCCGCATGATGATCGTGCTTAAAGTGACTGAAAACCGGGAGGAGGGGATGCAGGGCGAGCGCCGCTAGGCAGGACCCACCTTCAGCGTCTCCACGTAGGCCTCATTGATGTCGGTGAGCCCCAGGCGCAGGGGGATGAGAAGCACCAGCGGTCTCCATGGCGACGGCCTGCTGGTGACCTCAGCTCCAGCAGGGAATCCGTTGCAATGCCGGTCGGCATCTGCAGGAAACGCAGTGGCGCCTGCACAGGGAACGCTGGTCCTGCACAACCTTCCTAGAAAGGGAGACATGCTTTCATTAACCAAGCAGAGCTGGCAAATTATCACTGTGTCACAGAAAAAGGGCATTGCAAAGCCAGGTGCTTATGATGAAACTCAAACTTGGAAAATACAGAAAAGCAGAAGAAAATTTGTTCATAATCTTGCCACCCAGAGAAAAAAATAAACATTTTCTATGCATACTTAATTCAAGAGTTTTACTGTGAAATAAAGCACACACATGAAACAGTGCAAACAAGATCCACACGCAATCGAGAGGAGTATCACAGAGTCTGTCCCCAGCAGCCCAGCAGCCTGCCTAGTGCCAGCACACAGGAACCCACTCCCTCCAGGCTCCTCGGCAAGGGCATCAGGACCCCCTTTCCTGGCTCCCACGCCTTCCATCTACATACACACACCCAAGAGCCAACGGTCCACGGGCCATGTCGACCGCAGGGTGCGGTGATGGGAGAAGACGCTCCAGGAGCACAGGGCACGCTCAGTGCCCGGTCACGGCCTCTCAGCACCACTCCCCACTCACAGGAGCACAGGGCACGCTCGGTGCCCGGTCACGGCTTCTCAGCACCACTCCCCACTCACAGGAGCACAGGGCACGCTCGGTGCCCAGTCACGGCTTCTCAGCACCACTCCCCACTCACAGGAGCCAGGCTGAATCCAGGGCCAGGCAGGGAACGCTCGGAGGCACCTGAGCATCTGCTCAACTCACAACATAAGGAAGGGATCAAAATGTAAATGAAAAATGCCACAACACAGCAAAAGACACCGCCAGACCAAGGTGGCCACTGGCCAAAGGTGGGACCATCAAGCATCAAAAAGATCGGCAGTGACAGGTTAACACACCGCATGTTTACGTGACAGGAGAAAAGGCAGCTCTTCTCAGAAAGCCAACCACCAAACGTGAGAGGAAAGGATGGGCTAGAAAAACCATCATTTTCAGGCCGGCGTCGGACAGAACTCACCAGGGCACGTTCAGTGTCACCGCTGGATTATTCATTAATTACAAAGGAAAAAGTCACCATCTCTGGCGATCTGACATACTGTCCCACTGCAGGCCCCTGACAGGATGGCAGAGGACACTGCCCCCCAGAAGCCACTCTCAGCCAGAGGCTCAAGCAGAGCCCTGCTGTGAGGAAACAAATCCAGAGTGCTGGTGATCGGCTGACCAGGACTCCAAAAATGCCAACGCCACGAAGCAGCAACAACCACAATAAAGAGGCAGAACCTTCTGGATTAAAGACCAGAAAGGCATTGCAACCACATACACATGCACTGGACCCTCAACCAGGGACACATATTCCTGGGACAGCAGGCAGGGGGCCTGGAGGGGCCCTGGGCAGTCATGGTGTCTCTGTGGCTCTGAGGAGCACTCTCATTCGCAGACTTGCTCATAAAAAGCAAGTGTGTCAGAATACAATTGGTGGGTCTAGGTGGAGGGTTTGTGGCCATGACTCACTGAACTTTTCTGTGGGACTGAAATTTCTCAAAATAGACAGCTGCAAAACAACTATTCTGGGAGCAAGAAATTTTTTAAATTTTTAATTTCTTGTAGAGACAGGGTCACTCTGTCACCCAGGCAGCAGTGCAGTGGCACAATCACAGCTCACTGCAGCCTCGAACGCCTGTTAGAGACAGGGTCACTCTGTCACCCAGGCAGCAGTGCAGTGGCACAATCACAGCTCACTGCAGCCTCAAACGCCTGTTAGAGACAGGGTCACTCTGTCACCCAGGCTGCAGTGCAGTGGCACAATCACAGCTCACTGAAGCCTCGAACGCCTGCACTTAGTCCTCCTGCCTCAGCCTCTAGAGTGGCTGGAACGAGTGTGGGCCACTGTGCCCCACTGATCTTTTTCTTTTTCGAGACCGAGTCTAGCACTGTCATCCAGACTGTAGTGCAGTGGCGTGATCTTGGCTCACTGCAGTTCTCCTGCCTCAGGCGCCTGAGGAGCTGGGACTAGAGGCGTGCGCCAGCACACCCAGCTAACTTTTTTGTATTTTTAGTAAAGACAGGGTTTCACCATGTTGGCCAGAATGATCTTGATCTCCTGACCTCGTGATCCTAGGATTACTGGCGTGAGCCACCACAGCTGGCCCCTTTCTTTTTTGAGGTGGATTCTCTGTTGCCTAAGCTGGAGCGCACTGGCGCAGTGTCGGCTTGCTGCAACCTCCACCTTCTGGGCTCAAGCAATTCTCTTGCCTCGGCCTCCCTAGTAGCTGAGATTATAGGCAAGTGTCACCATGCCCAGCTAATTTTTGTACTTTTAGTAGAGATGGGGTTTTGCCATTTTGGCCCAGGCTGGTCTCAAATTCCCGGTATCAAGTGATCTGCCTGCCTCAGCCTCCCGAAGTGCTGGGATTACAGCCACAAGGCAACTGTGCCTGTCCTGATTTCTCTATTTCTTGGAGAGAGGGAGCTGTCCAGGCTGATCTCAAGCAGTCCTCCAACTCAGCCTCCCTAAGGAGTGGGATTATAGGTTTGAGCTACCATGCCCAGCCTTAAGGGAGTTTTTTGGGTGTTTGAGGCAGAGTTTCACTCTGTTGCCCCGGCTGGAGTGGAGGGGTGCAATCACGTCTTATTGCAGCCTCGACCTCCTAGGCTCAAGCGATCCTCCCACCTCAGACTCCTGAGTAGGTGGGACTAGACACATGACCCCATGCCTGGCTAGTTTTTTGTGTTTTCTTTTTTTTTTTTCTTGAGATGGAGTTTCACTGTTGTTACCCAGGCTGGAGTGCAATGGCGCGATCTTGGCTCACCGCAACCTCTGCCTTCTGGGTTCAGGCAATTCTCCTGCCTCAGCCTCCCGAGTAGCTGGGACTACAGGCGCGCACCACCATGCCCAGCTAATTTTTGTGTTTTTAGTAGAGATGTTTTAGACCATGCTGACCAGGATGGTCTCGATCTCTTGACCTCGTGATCCACCCGCCTTGGCCTCCCAAAGTGCTGGGATTACAGGCGTGAGCCACCACACCCAGACTTTTGTGTTTTCTTTTGTAGAGATGAGGTTTTGCCATGCTGTTCAGGCTGGGCTCAAGCAATCTGCCTGCCTCCACCTCCCAAAGTGCTAGGATTACAGGCGGGAGCCACAGTGCTTAGCCAAGGGAAGGATTTTAACTTTAATCTCTAAACACATGTTATTGCTTCAAAGAGCCAGTTCTCTTATTTGTTCTAATAAGTTTCTTTCTTTTAAAATTTATTTTAAAAACGTCTTATAGAATCAAGTCTTTGCCCAGGATGTCTTGAATTCCCGGCTCTGTCACCCAGGTTAGAGAATAATGGCACGATCTCACTGCCACCTCTGCCACTGGGTTCAAGCAATTCTCTTTCCTCAGGCTCCCGAGTAGCTGGGATTACAGACACCTACCACTGCACCTGGCTAATTTTTGTATTTTTAGTATAGACGGGGTTTCACCATCTTGGCCAGGCTGGTCTCAAACTCCTGACCTCATAATCCAGCTGCCTTGGCCTCCCAAAATGCTGAGATTACAGGTGTGAGCCACTGCGCCTGGCCAAATTCCTGGCTTTAAGTGATCTTCATGCCTCAGCCTCCCAAAATGCTGGGATTCCAACACGAGCCACTACATCTGGCCTAATACATTTTTTCTTTTAAATCATTAATTTCTGTATTTCTCTTTAATGCCATTCTATGGTTTCCTCAGTTAATTTTGCTGCTTTTTCTGAATTCTTGAGCTGTATGCCTATTTCATTAACTTTCACTTTTTAAAAGAACCTACATACTAGTATTGAAGGTACACACAGGTTTTGAGTTCTGTACACATCAGACTCAGACACACAGTCATGGTCTGTAAACCTGACTTTCTTGACCCAAGAGCTAAGACAGAGGTTTACGGTTTCCAGGCAGCAAGGTTTTGTCTTTTTCATTTTCTCCTGCCTCAGTTTCACGGAAATGTCAAGGCCCCCTCTGCCGGCACAATCCGTGGTTTGACAGGTGTCTAACTCGTTACTGTTACCCTGTAACTCTGACCTTTCTGTATCGAATCTGTTAATTACTCTGTTTTCTATACGTTTTGTTTTGTTTTTCTGAGACACAGTCTCACTGTGTCACACAGGCTGGAATGCAGTGGCATGATCTCAGCTCACTGTAACTTCTGACTCCCAGGTTCAAGCCATTCTCGTGCTTCAGCCTCCCAAGGCTGGGATTATAAGTGCATGCCACCACACCCAGCTAATTTTTACATGTATTATAAAGAATATATATATATATATTCTTTAGTCGACACAGGGTTTCACAACGTTGGCCAGGCTGGTCTTAAACTCCTGACCTCATGTGACCCACCCGCCTTGGCCTCCTGAAATGCTGGGATTACAAGCATGAGCCTCCTATACCCGGCCCACTTTACTGATTGTGACATTATGGTTTGGTAGAAAGGCTTCCTGGTGATGACACTTTGTTGCTGACTGGTGCATTGTCACCAGCACAGACCCTACCATCTCAGGAATATGAACAAACACTCAGATCGGCTCGAGGGCTAAAGCAGAGCCACGCCGGCTGCTTCTGTGCCTCCGGAGTCCAGCACTGAGCGTTACCTACCATGCCACAAACGCCCTGCTGTCAACAGGCTACGTGGGCTTTTGCCTATTCCTGGCACCACCTGAAATTTTCTCGTGTTCTTGTTGTATTTTAAACATGTTTAACATTTCTATTTCTCTATCAATGACAACTGCACAGTACACAGCCCTACTCTCACCTCACGAAGCCAGGTCTTTTCTTAGAATGCGAAAGTTTCCAGTAGCATTTGGTGTGGCACAAAGATGAGATGCCCAGGCCAGTTTTAGTAAATAATACTATTTTGGATGTTCAGGGAAGTCTTCCTTTATTTCTGCAATTTGGAAATGTTATCAGGAACATGTACATTTAAGTACTCCTGATAAAAGATTTGGGGGTCTTGCTGAGTGTGGTGGCTCATGCCTGTAATCCCAGCACTTTGGGAGGCTGAGGCAGGTGGATCACCTGAGGTCGGGAGTTCAAGACCATCCTGGCCAACGTGGTGAAACCCTGTCTCTACTACAAATACAAAAATTAGCCGGGCGTGGTGTTGTGTGCCTGTAGTCCCAGCCATTATTTTGGAGGCTGAGGCAGGAGAATTGCTTGAACCTAGAAGGTGGAGGTCGCAGTGAGCCAAGACTGCGCCACTGCTCTCCAGCCTGGGTGACAGGGCGAGACCATGTCTCAAAAAAAAAAAAAGACTTGGGGGTCTTTAACTCTAAAGACTCAATTCTTGGCTAGGTACAGTGGCTCACACCTGTAATACCAGCACTTTGGGAGGCCGAGGTGGGCAGATCATCTGAGGTCAGGAGATCAAGACCATCCTGGCCAACATGGCGAAACCCTGTCTCTACTACAAATAGAAGAATTAGCTGGGTGTGGTGGCACACACCTGTAGTCCCAGCTATTCAGGAGGCTGAGGCAGAATACTTGAATCAGACAGTCAGGAGGTTGCGGTGAGCCAAAATCGTGCCCCTGCACTCCAGCCAGCAAGACTCCATCTCAAAAAAAAAAGACTCCACTCAGGGGAATTTTCTCCTATTCCTTCAGTGGGTCAACTCTCCGGAAAAGTTGTAATGCACACACTCTGCTTTCGGCCACCTCTGTTTTGCTGTACTGCCTCTCAGAGAGTTCAGTTTCAGCTATTGTGATTCTCCTCCGCACTCCTTCTCTGACTGTGCTTGCTGTGATTTAATTTTCTTTCATTAGTTCTCACTGCCTGACTGATACCTTTTCCAATCTGTTTCCTCACTACCCTCAGTGGCATTCCGTCTTCTGTCATTAGGAAGGTCTAAGCCCACCAACATTAAGAACGGGAAGAGTATGCTGAGGATGTCCTGGCTGGCCTTTGACAGGGGAGTGAACGATGGGTGGTGGATGGGGACGTTCCAGGCAGGCAGGCCTCCTCTTACCCCGCAGGGAGTGAATGAAGGATGGGGAGGGCAGAGATGGGTGGTGGATGAGGACGTTCCAGGCAGGCAGGCCTCCTCTTATCCTGCAGGCTTTACTTAAAATCTGAGCGGGAACATGGTCAGGCAGCTTTCGCAGGAGGAAGAAGCTTTAGTGGAATTTCTGAATGGCATCAGTTTTTTCCTAACTGCTCCTTCCACAAGCAGTTCTGAGAAACTAGAAGAGAGGTCCTTGCTCAGCCAAGGAACTGTTTGTTTCTCTAGCTTCTGCTCTGAGGACTTCTTTCTCAGGCTCCTCCCTTGGGGACTCTTAGTGCACCTGAAAAGCTGGCTGCTTCCTGCCTCCCTCCATTACTCCCTCCCAGGGCTTTTGGGAGGGCCATGGCCCCGACGTCCTCCTCATGACACCATGCCACGCTCAGGAACCCAGAAACCCAGGCCCTGTCAATCAGTGCCCGTGCCCTTGCTGGCTGGAAGTGGATGCCTTTCTTCCTAAATGGGTGTGTCAGGCACCTTCCAGTGCCCCTGTGAGGAGCAGTGTCCTTTCCAGTGACAGGGAGCTGGAGCCGACGCAGCGAGACCAAGCCGGTCAGACTAGGCAGCCCTGACATCCTCCAGGGGCTGGGACATGTAGATCAAGCTCGCCCAGGATCTGACCCACTCCCTCTGACAAGCCAGTTCCAGCAGCACTGCTCTGGGCAGCCCTGAGTCCCCCAAAAAGACGGAGCTGGAGCCCACAGTTGAGCAACCCCCACAGTACTCACAGCAGCCCTACCTACGCCTGGAGGGAGGGAGGCTCTAGGAAGCCCTGACCCTTGTCCCTTCCTGGCCACTGCACCAAGGCAAAATGCCTCCCTAGTCTGAGGCCAGGGGCTGAGGTGTGACTGGCTGAGATCCTGAGTGTGGGTGCAGAACGAGGGGGTAAGTGATTTCCCCAATGTGGAGGGAAAGTGCGGGAGTGAAGGGGGAACTAACGTATAATTGTATATTGTGTGGCCAGTTAATAATTGTAATGCTGTCACTCACTGCCAGGAGTAAATACTTAGGAAACCATGCAAGTTTTTGAAAGGCAGAGGAGGGCCAGGCACAGCAGCTCACACCTGCAATCCCAGCACTTTGGGAGGCCAAGGAAGGTGGGTCACCTGAGGTTGGGAGTTCAAGACCAGCCTGGCCAAAATGTTGAAACCCTGTCTCTACTAAAAGTACAAAATTAGCCAGGCGTGGTGGCACATGCCTGTAGTCCCAGCTACTTGGGAGGCTGAGGCAGAAGGATCACTTGAACCTGGGAGGCGGAGGTTGCAGTGAGCCGAGATGGATTGTGCCACTGCACTCCCACCTGGGCAACAAGAGTAAAACTCCGTCTTAAAAAACGCACAGGAGAAATACTGAAAATGCTCATATGAGTTATTTCTGAGTGGTGAAATCAGTAATTTTCCTCTTTCTTTGCTCTTCCTTCATTCCAACATCTTATAAGAATTTCAAGAAACAGAATGGGGGAAACGGTAGGGGGGAGAGACAGACCCCAGGCTGTGGGCTCTGAAGGGCAAGTCACAGAAGGCAAGCCTGCTGTGGTAAGTGCTCGGCACTGCAGAAGCCGGCATCTCTCCAGAACGTCCCGGCCCGGCCCGTTCCCTCGTGCCGTGTCACAACTCCCCGCAGGACGGCCAGAGGATGAACAGAACGGAGAGGCGCCACCACTCTGCAGGGAAGGGGTGCGTCTGTGACCCAGCACACACCTGTGTGGTGACCTGCACACTCACAGTCGTGTGGGCAGGACCTGCTCCCGCTGCGAATCTGTGCGCAGTTAGGGCTGTGGTTCTGAACGAGCTCTTTCTTAAGGAAAACGGGATTCAAGGCAACAGCCTACATGTAGGACTTCAATAAAATTGGAATTGAGGCAGCTTTGAGAAGTTCCTCGGGAAAAAGGTACCACTGAGTAAAGAAGGTGGTGAGGCATTGATAAGATCTCTCAACTTGGCTACACCATGGAAGGAGAAACATGAATTTGGAACTCACTCAATGAGGCCATGCGTTAGATGCAAACGTTGCCATGCCTAGGTTCCTTCAGGGCTGCGGCAGACTTTTCTTCCAGAAAGCTGAACAGAACTCTGCCTTCACGATGCGCCTTTGCTTCAGATGGCGCAGCTGAATTTCTGGTTGCTGCATTTCTTTGCAGCATATCAAGGCACACAAAAGAACTTAACCAGAATTCTCACACGAAGGCGCCTAAGCACAGCACCTTCAACAGTGATTTGTGACCAAGACACAAAACACGACGTGAGATACCAAGCAGCTGCCTCCAGAGAGCCCGGGCCCTCCTCTCTCAGTCTGACCGCCAGGACAGGAGCGAGGCCGCCGTGCACCTGGCTTGGCACACAGGCCCCACGGAGCACCAGCAAGGCACTGGGATGACTGACAACACTTGCCAAGGCTCCCGTGTGGGCTCAGGCGAGGAAGGGTGTGTGCTGCCCACAATTTCAACTTTCTTGTCCACGTAAACTGAGCCACTTACTGATTTCCTCCATCACAACAGTGTTGTCCATTGCTATGTGGACCGCCAAGGAGCTCCACGTGTCGAAGACAGCAAGCTTCCTACAGAGAGTGGGAGGAGAACGACCATGAGCTTTTCTGTAATTCAAAGATGCTACATCTCTGCAGCAACAACTGTCCTGTTGGAAGGACTGCTGGTGTTAGAGCTGCTTCTCGGATGAGAAGGGCCGGGGCTCCAAAAGTCCGGGCACAACTAATGCCACAGACAGGAGGAAAGCTGAGGGTAAATCTGCTTCTTCTCGCCTGAGGCCCAGTGGTCCTTCCCTTGCCCCAGCTCCATTCACAGAGAGCACACAAAAGAGGCTTTTCAGTGGCCTGGTTTCCTGGTCTCATTGGCACAGAGGCAAGACTAGAACATGAACCCAGTTCTGAGAGGCTGCGAGTTTTGCCAACTTTGAGGCAGGCCTCCCAGCACCTTCACACTCTGCTCTGCTCAACCCTCCACCAAACATGCTCAGCTGACAACCAAGGAGTCTGAGTCCTGGCAGGGAAACATGCACCTCTGTGGGGAGCACGACTGTGCACGCCAACGAGGAGACACTGTGGCTGCAGTTCCTTCTAAAGGAAGGGCAGATTCTGAGCCAAAGTCTAACAGGACTCTGATCTCATCCCAGATGCCACGGAGGTGGGGTTAGAGGACCTCAACAAAAGCTAAGAAAACAGAAAAGGCCCCGAGGCGGCAAGGACCTAGTGGTCCTGGGGGCAGAATCTGGGACCTGTGTGTGGGAGGCCTGGGTGGGGTGGAGCATGGGACTGGGGTGACCACTCAGAGCCCCACCCACGCACAAGCCCAGAGGAGACACTGGGAGGAGAGCCTGCTTCCCCACCTGGGCCACCCTCCTCCTCCCCACTCCAGCCAGCTGCAGTGCTGAAGATGCAGCACAAGGGCCACAGCGGCACTGGCAAAGCTGACGGGGGCGGGGGGCAAACAAGGAAGCAGCAGCCATGTGGGTTGGTGGTCAGCGCTGAAGAGAATAGTAACACAGGAACGGGGAGTGGTGCTGCTAACGTAGCCGCGGTGAAGGCCTTGGTGCCAAGGGCACAACCCAGGCAGGTGTCGGGGGAATAGGTGCCAGTGCCAGCACCACATATGCAAAGGTGCTGAGGCTGGTGTGTCCCAGGAACACAAGGAGTCAGGGAGGTGGGCACAATACCCCGCCTGAGTCAGCAGGGAAGCACCAGGGTGGTTCAGGGCAGAGTGGTGGCCAATGTGCTTTATGCAGATGGCTCTGCTGTTATTTGTTAAAGAGACTCTAGGATGATAGAGAGAAGGAAGATCAATAAGAAGAAAAGAGATGGAGCTCGGGCCAGCACGGGGAGTGAAAGGATGAACGCTGGTCAGAATCTCGATGTATTTTGGATGAGCTCACTGAAAGAAAGAGGAGCCTTAACAGGGCGGGGTGGCTCATGTCTGTAACCCCAGCACGTTGGGAGGCCAAGGTGGGCGGATCACGAGGTCAAGAGATCGAGACCATCGTGGCCAACCCAGTGAAACTCCATCTCTGCTAAAAATACAAAAATTAGCTGGGCATGATGGCGTGTGCCTGTAGTCCCAGCTACTCAGGAAGCTGAGACAGGAGAATAGCTTGTATACGGGAGGCGGAGGTGGCAGTGAGCCAAGATCGCGCCATTGCACTCTAGCCTGGCCGCAGAGCGAGACTCCATCTCAAAAAAAAAGCAAGAGGAGTCTAGAACAATCCCAGATTCTGGCTTGAGCACCTGAAGGAGTGCTGCCACTGTGGAAAAGCAACAGGTTGGGGCCAGCATAAGCTCTGGCTGTCAGGTCACCATGTACCACGGACACCCAGGTGGAAATGCAGAATAAGCAGCTGGACCTGAGCCTATAGACCAGGGACAAATCAGCCCTGCAGGTGACCCTGGAAGCCAGTCCACATGCCTGAGTGCCAGAGCACGAGCAGGCTGGGGAGGATCATCCAGCGACAAGAGTGGGGGGCTAGTGGGGAGCGGGCAGGGGGCCAGGAGAAACAGTGAGCATGGCTGAATGGCCTGGTGTTTTCAGAGTGAGCACCTGCACCAAGGGCCACCCGCTGCTGGCTAAGACAGAGGCTGCAGCTCAGTTTCAGACCTGAAGACAATGTGATGCTGGCCTTGACAGGGCCACCCTAGGCAGCAGCAAGAAGCAGTGTGAGTGCAGAGGTGTGGTGGGGGCTGGGGAGCTGCTGGACAGAGGACTCTGACTGGCACGCAGTGGGGACTGAGCAGGTGCCATGCCAAACACAGGACAGGCCAAGGAGACAGAGGCAGCAGCAGGTGGAGGATGTGGGATGGGGAGGGGATGATGGAAGAGAGATGACGTGTGCGGGAGACCCCAGGGAACCTGAAAGAAAAGCTGGGTGAAGACAGTGACTGCCATGCTGAGGAGCGGGCTGAGGGTGAAGGGAGACAAAGCCATTTCAACGTGAAACGTGGGTGCCTGAGGGACTCGTAGGCTATAGGGCAGGCAGGTGCAGGAGAGGCTTCAAGGAAGCCGCAGCGGAGAAAGGCTTGGGAGACGCTGGCCTCGGCCCAGTGGGGAAGAGGCCCTGAGGGGGCAAGTCCTGGGGGAACTGGCCAGAGCCTCCCCAAAAATGCTGGGATGCCAGGACACACGGAATCAGACCAAGTGACCCTGGACGGGTCAAGAGGAATGAAGAGCAGACACAAAGCTGAAACCACACTCAAGTTTCTGGAACTGCAGGGAGGGCCATTTCAGAGGAATCTGGGGAGCGGGAGTAGGGAGGCAGCATGGAGCAAACACACGATGAGGCTGAGTAAGGCGTGTGAGGAAGCAAGTGTGGGGGACACCTGCAGACACCAAGGTGCATGGGAAGGCAAGCCAGGCTACAGGGAGGCTCCAGGCAACAGGCGGCAGGGCTCGCGGATGCCAGCCTCCAACAAGCCCACAGAGGTGGAAGGGCCTGGCACCCGCAGGGATGGCTGTAGACCAGTTTCAGCTGCAGGTGGGATGCTGTAGGTTGTCCCCATTAGAAGCCACTATTACAGTTTGCTCCAGAGGGAAGACAAAGAACAAGGGTCCAATTGGCCAGCCAGGATCTGAACTATGGTGTTCATTTTATTAGAAAACACACACCCCCATTCACAAGACCACTTGGCCTAGTCATCTCTGAGCAACCTCCCGAGGGCCCTGCAGCCAATAATTAGCGAGCCCTTATTTCTTTTTTCTTTTTTTTTTTTTGAGATGGAGTTTCACTCTTGTTACCCAGGCTGGAGTGCAATGGCGTGATCTTGGCTCACCGCAACCTCCGCCTCCTGGGTTCAGGTAATTCTCCTGCTTCAGCCTCCTGAGTAGCTGGGATTACAGGCAGACGCCACCATGCCCAGCTAATTTTTTGTATTTTTAGTAGAGACGGGGTTTCACCATGTTGACCAAGATGGTCTCGATCTCTTGACCTCGTGATCCACCCGCCTCGGCCTCCCAAAGTGCTGGGATTACAGTAGTGAGCCACCGCGCCCGGCCCAAGAGAGCCCTTATTTCCTGCAGCCATGAAGACTCAAGGATAACAGAAACCCCAGGGAATGTCCGTGCTGCCCCCGCTCAGCAGTGGAAGTGCAGTACATACTTGAGGACCTGGGCGACAGTGTTCGGCCCATACCACTGGCCTATGGACTTGCCTTCGCCAACTCCCATTTGCGCTGCAGGGAACAGATCCAGATTAGCGACACACTCCCACCCTGACCATCCCAATGCCCCCAGCCCCGAGCTCTGTTGGCATGTGGTGCCAGGACACACATCACAGGAAGTCCTGGACGGCACCCCACCCAGCCTCCAGATGTAAGGATGCCCCAACAAGGTGCGGGGAGGCCTGAAGGGACAGCCGAGGTCTCAAGGGCTGTCCTTCACTGTGAACTCAGATAAGGAGGGGAAGCCAGGAAATGAAGGGACCACTTCCTTCTATCAGTGAAGACAGTGCTCAAAAGTTGGCCTTGCTTGCAACAAAGGCCAGCTAGTCTTGACTCTCTCCACTTCCATCTGAGCATTCAGACTCACTGATGGGGCAGGAGGAAGAAGGGCCCTTCAGGAACGAGGCCAATTTCCTCATATTGTGCTATGCACCAGGCACTGCAGGCCAGAGATGGCAAGGAGGGCAAGGCCCCACCAGGGCCCGGGTGGGAGCACCCACAGGCGGTCAGAGGCCCGTGTGGTCTACAGCCCCTGCTCCACATCCCGCAACACCAGAAAAGCTCTTAGGGGAAACCGACCGCTCTACCCTCTCCAAACGGCCCGGGTGGGGCCTGGCACAACCTACAGCCTCCCACCTATCTGGTGAATGGAGTAGTAACTGTCCTTCCTGTCGATGAATGCGTTGAGGACGCTGAAATAGCTGTCTGGCTGTCTCTTCCTTTGTGTCCACCTCCAATCTATTGGAAAAAGACTACAGGTCAGCTCTACCATAAATATGAGAAACAAATCTTCACTTTCACACACACTCAACATACAGGTGGCATCCAAACCTTTTTTGGGATCTCTTTGTTTTTCTGAGACGGAGTCTCACTCTATTGCCAGGTTGGAGTGCAGTGGCAAGATCTTGGCTCACTGCAACCTCCGCCTCCTGGGTTCAAGCGATTCTCCTGTCTCAGCCTCCTGAGTAGCTAGGACTGCAGGCATGCGCCACCACACCCAGCTAATTTTTTGTATTTTTAGTACAGAGGAGGTTTCACTATGTTGGCCAGGATGGTCTTAATCTCTTGAACTCGTGATCCACCCACCTCAGCCTCCCAAAGTGCTGGGATTACTGGTGTGAGCCACTGTGCCCAACCCGGGATCTTTTAAAAGTAAAAACTCATGCTTTCCAGGATTTCAAATGCATATATGCCAAGTTATCAAAACAAATCTGTACAGAAAACAGTCTCAGTGATTTAAAACACTCATCAGCACTGGGTGACGTGGCTCACGCCTGTGATTCCGGCACTTTGGGAGGCCGTGGCAGGTGAATCACCTGAAGTTGGAGTTCAAGACCAGCTTGACCAACATGGAGAAACCCTGTCTCTACTAATAATACAAACCGGGCGTCATGGTACATGCCTGTAATCTCAACTACTCAGAAGGCTGAGGCAGGAGAATCACTTGAACCCAGGAGGTGGAGGTTGTGGTGAGCCAAGATCGCGCCACTGCACAGCCTGAGTGACAAGAGCAAAACTCTGTCTCAAAAAAAAATTAACAGAATTCTTTTTTTTTTTTTCTCCAGACAGGATCTAACTCTGTTGCCCAGGCTGGAGGGCAGAGGCATGAACTCAGCTCATTGTAGCCTCTACCCTCCTGGGTTCAAGCAATTCTCCTACATCAGTCTCCCATGTAGCTAATTTTTGTAGTTTTTTGCAGAGAGGGGTCTCACCATGTTGCCTAGCCTGATTTATCAGCATTCTCTAAAGTCAGTTTTTTAAACAAGCGGGTCATTACTCAAGAAAACCCCAAGTTCTACTTTGTGTTTTACCTGTGACCTGCTCTAAAGAGCCCTGACCCCACAGTCCCCTTTGCTTACTAAGAACACCACGGCCAGCACCCTCCCCAGGGCTGTGACTCACCTCGGCCTAGGTGCCGGCACACCAGGGCTTGGGCAAAGATCATCTGTCCACACCGCAGCATGCAGCCCCAGCCTGTGTCCGAGGTGGGGCCTGTCCCCCCTGTCACGGCAGACAGAGAGAGAAGTGCTCATGGCTAGACGGCCCCACAGGCCAAGAGCCCACTGGAGGAGGCAGCGGGTCAGTCCCGCACCACAGGTACCAACTCCCTCAACTATCAGCTCCACCTGGGGCAACACACACCTCTTAGAACTCAGTAACGCCAAGGGACACATTTACTGGAGAATGAAATGTCCCGACAACCTCCTCAAAATGGGCAAAACACATGAACAAGTCAGTCATGGAACAAAAGGAATGTCTGACAAACACAGGAAGACACTGATCCCCATAAGTCATGCAGAAAATGCAGAGTTAAAACAAGAAGTCATTTTCCCATTATCAGAAAGGCAGAAATTCAAAGGCCTGTTGACGCCCAGTGCTGCTGAGAGCACAGGAGCAGTTAAGGCAGGAAGGCAGCCCTCCCTGCACAGGTGCCAGGCCCTGGCCCTTACGGCCACTCCCTGGGCCCAGAAAGATGGACAACACACAGCGTGGAAGAGCTTGGCATGTGACAGACACTTGCCAAACGCTGTCAGCCCGCAGCAGGGGGAATGCCAATGCACAGCTGTGACACAGAGAAGGCCACCTGTGCAAGTGGGCAAGAGGCATGTGGGTGGCTTCACACCAGGGTGAGCAGCAGAGATTCAGGACACATTTGCCCTGTGCCCACTCTTGGGCTTCCAGCAGCTTCCCCACACACTGGCAAGGAAATTAAACCCTGTGTCTTGGGGCAGTGGTGGCTGTCACACACCAACACCCCAATTAGCAGTGCCCATGATCATCCTCGCTCCACTGCTGATAAAAACAAATCATCTCAGAGCCAGGCATGGTGGTGTGCACCTGCAGTCCCAGCTCCTCAGGAGGCTGAGGAGAGAGAACTGCCTGAGCCCAGGAGTTCAAGTCCAGCCTGGGCAACACAGTGAAACCCCACGTATTGAAAAAATTAAGGCCGAGCACGATGGCTCACACCTGTAATCTCAGCACCTTGGGAGGCCAAGGTGAGCAGATCACAAAGTCAGGAGATCAAGACCATCTTGGCTAACATGGTGAAAGCCTATCTCTACTAAAAATACAAAAAATTAGCTGCGCATGGTGGTGGGCACCTGTAATCGCAGCTACTCGGAAGGCTGAGGCAGGAGAATCACTTGAACCCGGGAGGCAGAGGTTGCAGTGAGCCACAATCATGACACTGCACTCCAGCCTGGGCAACAAAGCGAGACTCTGTCTCAAAAAAAAAAAAAAAAAAAAAAAAAAAAAGAAATTAATAATCAAAAAAAAAAAATCACCTCTGTGGGACCAGAGAAGGAGACACACCACACTTGACCTTGAGAACTGCAGCAAGCCTGCTTCATCTGCAACGGTTCATCTCCAGCCTCTACCTCCTCCGCAAGGCCTCCGCCAAATCAGAAAGGCTTCACTCTAGTCCTGTTCTCCTTCCCAGCCCGTGGCAGAGTCGCTGTGAAGGAGATGGAGGCTGGGGACAAATCTGTATCCACATCCGCAAGGAAAGCAGGCTCAGAGCAGCTGCGAAACACGTGTGCAATGCACAGCCCTTCCCGGGCGCATCTGACAAGTTACAACATTAAGTGTCAACCTAAGGGGACATTATCTTATGTCCCTACGCGTCAGTGTTCTGCAACGTCAAGCCGTTGTGGCTGTTTTACTCTCACCTCACTTCAGGATAAAGAATGAAACCACCCCTAGAAGAGGGACCAAACCCTGGCCCAGCACTGTGGCAGTGTGAGGTCGGCCCTGCCCCTCACCTCTGGCCTCAGTTATCCACCAGTGAGAGGCAGGGCTGAGAAGCAGTCCCATCTCCTTCCAGCTCCAGGGCATACAACAATGATGGAATGCACTTTAGTGTTACATAAAAACATGTCCCCTGGCCCTTCAGATCTCCCTGCAGGTAAGTATGGAAAATACTGAACAAGATGAGGGCTACGGAGAATGGCTGCCAAACATTCTGGGCCTAAGTAAGAAACACACTGTGTTCAAATATTCAGACTAGAACTCAAACCCCCGAAGCGGCGCGCCGCCTGCCTATGGTGGACACACTGCTTCCTACACCATTCTGTCCTACATTTAAAACAATGTTGGCCGTGACTCACGATACTGATTTCCAGCTCCAGTAATAAGCTGTGACTGGCAGTTGAAAACACACTGCCCTAGGTGGAATCAGGAGCCTGGGGTTGGATTCTAGCCCTGACACTGCTACATGTGAGGCCTCAGCCAATTCATTTAACCAGGACCACTGTGAAGATTCAAATGAACTATGTAGCATATTGAAGTCAAATCTACAAGCGTAAGTTCTCCTTCCTAAAAACACGTTATACTTTGTCCCACACTGTAATAAATCCGAGTACTTACCAATGGCTGGAAAGTTTTTCCTGTATGTAAACCAAAGTCTAGACGCCACATCAGACAAGATCTCGTCCTTTTCTAGAGGTTGTTTAAAAGAAAAAAACACACACACACACACACAACGCCATAAGTTTGCAAGTCACATGTTATGGCAGAGTTAGCAGAGAACAATTATCATCACAAAATGCCTCTGTAGGCCAAGCGGTCAGAGCAGGGTGGGCTGTAGCATGGCTGATACCTGTGAAAATGCTGTATTTTCTACCCAGTATCCAAACGGGCTCTGAGGTCTCAGGGAAATCTTCAAACTCGGCAAACCGGAGAGTGTCGTAGGTCAGAGTAGCTGTTGAAACGAAAGACGTACAACCATCAGACGTTTATAATTTCATACAGTAGTATCAAGAGAGGACATTTACAGCACTTCTGTGCTGAAGAGAACAACTGTAAATTCTTGCCACGACAGCACACCCTCTTGCATCTCCGGCCTACCAAGACCTCCACCATGGATGGAGTAAACTCGTGGGAATACACAGGAGGCCATGCTGGCCAGTGCTCTGCTAAGGTATGGGGACAGGGAGGTGGGGCCAGTCCTAAGCCTTTGTCTGACAGCAGACATGAGGGTGAGAGGCCAAGTTAGGGGCCAGCCTGAGGGGAGAGGAAACAAAAGAAATAACATAAAAAGCCACCCGATTCAAGCATGCACTTTAGACTTAAAAATGTTTGGGCCGGCGTGGTGGCTCATGCCTGTAATCCCAGCACTTTGGGAGGCCGAGGCAGGTGGATCACGAGGTCAAGAGATCAAGACCATCCTGGCCAACATGGTGAAACCCTGTCTCTGCTAAAAAGACAAAACTTAGCCAAGTGTGTTGTCGGATACATGTAGTCCCAGCTACTCGGGAGGCTGAGGCAGGAGAATTGCTTGGAACTAGGAAGTGGAGGTTGTAGTGAGCCGAGATCCCACCACTGCACTCCAGCTTGGCGACAGAGCGAGACTTCGTCTCAAAAAAAAAATGTTTAAAACGTCCAAGACAAACATAAAATGAAACCACCCCCTTCATCTTTGTGTGCAAGGACAGCCACAGACAAAACAGAACAAGGAGTCATTTTTCATGGCCATCCTAAGGTTTACCAGATGTCACCTTGGCAGCACGTTCAGTCACTGTGATGAAGGCAGCGCTCCAGGGGCAAGAAGCACTGAGATGCTGGGAAGACTTGGGGTTCTGGTCTACCCTAATTTCCTGGTTAGGGGCAGGTGCTGGAGAAGCGTGGGGTGCTACTCCAAGGTAGAAAGTTAACCTCTGGACACTAAGAAATCAAGCTCACTACCAAGTCCCCAGAGGCACCTGGGTACAAAGAGCCTAGTGATCAAGGACTGAACCTGTTTTCATTTCAACAACGCTACCAGAAGGGCACGGCCACCGCTTCCATGTGGCAACACCCCACTTTCTAAGGAGGTGGCTGGCTGCAGAGCCATGGAGCTTACCTGCTGCACTAATGAGCCCTGCACACCATCTTACTCTGTTCTACTTCGGTTAAGAAACTAGGCCAGGCGCAGTAGCTCATGGCCATAATACCAGCACTATGGGAGGCTGAGGCGGGCGATCACCTGGGGTCAGGAGTCTGAGACCAGCCTGGTCAACATGGTGAAACTCCATCTCTACTAAAAGTACAAAAATTAACCGGGCATGGTGGTGGGCACCTGTGATCCCAGCTACTCAGGAGGCTGAGACAAGAGAATCACTTGAACTTGGGAGGTGGAGGTTGCAGTGAGCCAAGATTGCACCACTGCACTCCAGCCTCGGTGACAGAGTGAGACTCTATCTCAAATAAATAAATAAATAAACTAGAGAGGTCCAGGGTCTTCCTGTCCACAGAACTGTGGCTGAGGATACCCATGTCCCACACTGTCCCCAAAAAGAAGGTGCCAGCCAGCAGCAAGGCACCAGCCCAAACACCCATGTGGTGAGATGCGCATCGAGTATTCTGGGGTGGCACCAGAGGCATCTCTCTCCAGCTGCTCCTCAGGGAACCTGGAATACGCAATTCCCATCTGCTGCCTCTCCAGCTCTGATGGTGTCTGATCACTCATTCTTCACCAGCAACTTCACAGCAATCTTCAAACACATATGAATTTTTCCCACATCTAAATTTACTTTTTGGTAACAACCCCACACTTTGATAAGAATGACACACGCTAATTATAAAAAATGCTGAAGACTAGAAAAATACACCAGTCACATGAAGCCTCATCACCCAGCAATGACTCTCCTTCCAGCAGCCTTCATGCACAGGTTCGTAGCTGAAATCACACTCATCCCGTGGTTTCCTCAGAATTCTACATAAACACAGAGGTCCACCTGAGCTGATACTATAAAAAAGCACCTTGTTTACATCCCAGACAGCCCGAGCACCCCTGCGTGTGTACCTCCGTGCTGTGCACAATCTCTCATCGAGGTGGGGGCAGGGTGCTACCTCTGGCCCCCAGCAGTGGGAATTCAAAGCCCAGCCTCGGTGCTGGTAAGATGTAATTTCCTGGGCCACTTACTTAACTATTAAGTGTCCATCATCCATAAAATGGGATAATAACAGGTAGCCTCACAATGTGGTTGTGATATTTCCATCAAACACTTCCAATGAGGTGCTGGCAGGCAGACAGAAGGGCTCCAATGTCAGCTGTGTCATGAACATCAAGGACTCAGAGCCACAGGGTCAAAGGCACACACATTTTATTATCTCCAAAAGGCTTAACTGCGTGTGCAGCTAATTCCCAAACACACGGCTGGGAAGTACTTGCCGGCATCTCCCTCAGCACAGGCAGAACTAACAAACCCATGACAGAGGGCCCTGTGCACGTTGTTTAAAGAATTCTCAGCTGTAGGAGACCCAGGCCCCTCTCTGCCCCTTTTCTAGAGTAGTGCTGTGGCTTCCTGAGCAAAATGACAGGCGTTACAGAGTGGCTGGGGCCAGATGAAACAAGCTTTCCACAGCAGGACTTTGCCCAAGAGTTCTGTGCTTTCTTTTTTTTTGAGACAGGGTCTTGTTGTGTCACCCAGGCTGGAGTTCAGGGCTGCAATCGTAGCTTACTGCAGCCTCAAGCTCCCAGGCTCCATCAATCCTCCTGCCTCAGCCTCCTGAGCAGCTGAGACTACAGGCATGTGCCACCACACCTAGCTAATTTTTGGAATTTTTTTTTGTAGACATGTTGCCAAGCTGGTCTCAAGCTCCCAGGCTCCATCAATCCTCCTGCCTCAGCCTCCTGAGCAGCTGAGACTACAGGCATGTGCCACCACACCTAGCTAATTTTGGGAATTTTTTTTTGTAGAGATGTTGCCAAGCTGGTCTCAAGCTCCCAGGCTCCATCAATCCTCCTGTCTCAGCCTCCTGAGCAGCTGTGACTACAGGCATGTGCCACCACACCTAGCTAATTTTTGGAATTTTTTTTTGTAAAGATGTTGCCAAGCTGGTCTCAAGCTCCTTGGCTCAATCAATCTACCTGCCTTGGCCTCCCAACATGCTGGGATGACAGGCATGAGCCATTGCACCTGGCCCCAAGAGCTCTGCTCTTATATATTTCACTTGTCCATGTTTTCAGACAGTATCAACCAAACTGCTTGCTGACTGTGAATAAATAAAGTCCAAGTAGGCCGGGCGTGGTGGCTCAAGCCTGTAATCCCAGCACTTTGGGAGGCCGAGGCGGGTGGATCACGAGGTCGAGAGATCGAGACCAACCTGGTCAACATGATGAAACCCCGTCTCTACTAAAATACAAAAAAAAATAGCTGGGCATGGTGGCGCGTGCCTGTAATCCCGGCTACTCGGGAGGCTGAGGAAGGAGAATTGCCTGAACCCAGGAGGCGGAGATTGCGGTGAGCCGAGATCGCGCCATTGCACTCCAGCCTGGGTAACAAGAGCGAAACTCTGTCTCAAAAAAATAAAATAAAATAAAATAAAAAAATAAAGTCCAAGTTTACATTCTCTCTTACCTTTTTATACATATAAGGTTACCTGCTTCTGTGCATGATTACAAAAACTGAGTTGAGATGAATTAAGGCCCATGTCTGCCTTTTTAGAGAGTTGAAAAAATTCATGATGTCCCTGCTACCTCTCTGAAGCCACTCCTGAGCCTTCAGAAGTCACTGCTGTTCTCTGACCTCTAGGCTTTATCCAATATACAGACTCAAATCCACAAAATTTATTCTCCAGGAAAAAGGATGCAAACAGCACTGGTCTAATTTCAATTTCCAACGCTGCAGGACAACGATTCCATCTTGCTGCTGGGACATTCTTCTGATGCTTGAGATCGTTCCGAGGTACCACCTTTGAACTAAAGATATGCCTATCTTTTATTTAAAGTACTGCAAAGCTAAATGAACACTTTGGCAAGTAACTCTTTGTAGGCTACAGATGTTCCTTAACTTAGGAAGGGATTATGTCCAATAAACATGTTGTAAGTTGAAAATACTTTAAGTCAAAAATGCACTGAGACCAAGCACGGTGGCTCAGGCCTGTAATTCCAGCACTTTGGGAGGCCAAGGTGGGCCTATCACCTGAGATCAGGAGTTCGAGACCAGCCTGGTCAACATGGTGAAACTGCATCTCTATTAAAAACACAAAAAATTATCTGGGTATGGTGGCAGGTGCCTGTAGTCCCAGCTACTCAGGAGGCTGAGGTGGAAGAATCACACGAACTCAAGAGATGGAGGCTGCAGTGAGCTGAGATCGCACCACTGCACTCCAGTCTAGGTGGCAGAGTGAAACTCCATCTCAAAAAAAAAAGAAAAAAAATGCATTGAATACACGTAACCTACCTAGCATCAAAGCTTAGCTCAGCCTGCCTTAAATGCGCTCAGAACACACACATTAGCCTAGAGTTGGGCAAACGCAGCTGGTAACACAGTGCCCCGTAGAGCATGGGTCATTTACCCTCCTCATCATGTGGCTGACAAGGAGCTACCTGGCATCTCCAGAGTATTTGGGCACACAATGTTAGCCCAGGAAAAGATCAAAATTCAAAATGCGAAGTCTAGTTTCTATAGAATGCATATTGCGTTCACAGTATTGTAAGGTCAAAAAATTGTGAGTCAAACCATGGTACTTTGGAGAACATCTGTATCTCAGAAGAATGTGGCATATGTCATCAGGAAAAGGACCATATCGTTGAATCAGTAAGAGTCGTAGTATCAGAGTCTGGAAACCGAGAAACTTTTACAGTATCTGGCTCCCCATGTTAAAAATATACATGATAAAGGAACGGGAGAAGTAGACGAGGAAGAAAAGGAACCAAGCTCACTCTGAAAGCAGGGACAACAGCTGGGCAGCTGGGAAGTGGAGGGATTTCCATCA